TATAAACATAAGTTCATGTTGCCATACCACATTAGCACACAGACGCAAATGTCAAATCAAATACCATAGTGATAAAGATGGTAGAGGCATTAATGGTAATGAAGAAGACCAGAGTTTGAAGATATTATTCAAGAAGAAGACAAGGTTGGGAAGACAAAGGTAGAGGTGCTGACGATTCCAGAAGATTAGGATTTGAGAGAGCTCACCAAACGAATGGATGCACTTGTGCCATTGCAAACGATTTTAAGCCATGTCGTTCAAGTTATCTAACCATTGGTGACTATCGTCTCTCGGAACCCAACCAGGTAGTCTACATCTACCAACATGATTCAGTCCACTAGTCAGTGACTTCATGGATTTATGCGATGTTTTGGTCTGGCCGCCCCTAGCTTTCTTCCAACCTAATCCTACACCACAAAACATAGTTCGTCGAGGCAGTCGGTGGTTAGTCATTCGTAACACATGTCCCAACCACCTCAACTGATGGCTTTTCAGAACTTCATCTATTGATCTGCCATCGTTACCTAGTACTCGTTTCCTAACGATAGCATTGCTTACTCGCTTGTCTCACGGTATACGGGCAATGCTTCTTAGACATCGATGATCGAATACTAGTAACCTACGAACATCTTCTACTCTTAACGGCCATGTTTCGCATCCATATAGGAGAACGGAGCGAACTGCTGCGCAGTACACCTGTCCTTTGGAACTAATCACAAAGTCTCTCAAAACAAAAAAAACACATTTCAAGGTCAAATAACCGTTCAGGAATAATGATGGTTTTGTTCTTGTGATTTTTTTAAAGATTTACATTACTTCTTAAAATGTGAATAAATTCAAAGTTTTGATAAGTAGTCAGTACTTCCTATTATATCATTGATTTGAACACAACACAACTACATTATGTCAGATTATCAGTTGAATGAAGCCTAAAATGCGAAGTGATTTAAATCATTGATCAGATTGTGAATCAGCATCCTACAAAGAACACTACTATACTACTACTTTATACTAGTGTGGTGTGAGCTACTTATAAGTAGTATATGACTTGAGCGTCAACGTAATGTCTGGCAGCAGAAGATGGGGCAAGATCAAGAAAGGAAGAGTTAGTTAGAACACAATGGAATTTGTATGTAAAACGCATGAATAGTGACAATGGATGGATGTTTTGCAACGGGAGCAGTCCAGTTCGATATTTATGGACTGATATTTTGCAAATCAACGATTTACGATATGGTTTTCCAATTTTACTGAGTAACTCATTAAATATGCATAAAATGAATAAATAAAAATAATGAGGATATTAATCGTTATTCTAGGGTAATAAAAATACAAATCAATATTACCAGGATAGGTTTAATGTAAATTGTTATTGTATTTCAATATAAATCCTCTTGTGGCAATTACAGAGGAATCAATTTCACTAATGTAGTGTCCAAAATATTAACTTCAGTACCTAACTAGAGTTGGTGAAGATCAGACTTGAGAAAAGTAGTCTGAATTTAGATCTGGACGAAATATTCATATTTCTACAAGTCCCAGAACACACATTTAGACGTTAGACAATATTTGTATCCTTGGAGCTTAAGGCAGTATCTGAATCTGTTGATTGTGAGGTTCTATGTCAGTGTCTGTCATTTCTAAGAAGTACATTGTCCACTTGAACACAACTGGTTGCGTCAGAGCTTATCATGAACTATCATCGGAAATGATTACCTCGAGTGGTGTTCATCAGCGTTGACCATTTTCTCCATTGTTATTCAACTTTGCCATTGAAATGCTTTTAGAATTATCACTCTCATTGTCTGATTGTTCAAGGGGCTGGCTGACCTTCTACCAGGAGACACTCTTGTTGACTTAGAATATGACGATGACATCGTTCTATATGGTGCGGACGCTGACATAATTCAGTCTTTTGACTACATTAAGCAACAAAGTGTTAGAATATTCACCTAATATCTTGACAGGGTTATTCGCATGTCTAATTCTATTGGTCAATTCCTGTTAGTTAATTCCTATTGGTGGTCCTAACTATCAACGTCACATACTTCAAATGTTTTTTCCTATTTGACCTAACTGTATAAATATGCATTATCTGTAATGTTTTATGACCCGGATCCTTGTCGTCTTTTGAACTCGGACCGCGTACTTTCTGGATACTTGTAAGATACATTTTCTACTTCATGTCAAGTCTTCTTCTTCTCCTATATAATGGGATTTTGGAACGGTCGGATTAGAGTAGCATGTCGTGTCACCGGATCATCGATATTCGCTCTCGTTTACTGACTAAGGTGAACTCGTAACAGTTCAAGCATATTGATTGACATGGTCACGAGCATTCGTAACACAAAGCGAGCTTGTTCAGGATACGATCCTCCCCCACGAAATAAAAAGTGTTGCCTCAAGATTGGCTTGCATTGGCACCTGAACTAGTGGTATGGAGTTAGGCAGTTGAGCGTGTTGACCGCTTCACTTATCTGGGTGGTCTCATCAGTTCTGATGACCTAATGGATGACAAAATCTCAGCACGAAAATAGAAGGCTCGACTGCCTTTCGCCAACTTGCGTCATTTACGGAGTAGGCAAGATAACCATCTGTAAACCAAAGGATAAGTTTACTGCTCAGCAGTTCGCTCCGTCCTACTTCAAGGGTGTGAAACACGGCCAGTAAGAATAAAGGATATTCTTAGGAACTAGTACTCAACTAAAGCACTGCTGGTGTATCCTAGCATCACCGTGTAAGCAATGTTGTTAGAAAACGGGCACGAGATGAGGATGGTAGATCAGTAGATGAAATAGTGAAACTTCATTACTTGAGGTGGTTGAAACATGTATTACGTACGCCCAACCACCAACTACCTCCAAAAACAATGTTTATGATGTAGGGGTAGGTTGAAAGAAAGCTATGAGCGACCAAACCAAAACATGGCACAAATCTATGAAGTCACCGACAGCTGGACTGAGTTATGTTAATCGGTGTAGACTACCTGGTTAGAGTCCGTAACACATTGGTCACCGGTGGTTACAGACTTTTAATAACCTGCCTCAAAATCGTTTGCACTGGCTCCGATGCATTCCTTCTTTGTCTTCTCCAAAATACTCTTAAAAAACTTATGTTCATCAGAACCCTTTTGTTCTCTTCTTAAATTTATTTCACTGAATTATACTTCTTGAATAATTTCTTCGAACCCTAATCTTCTCCATAACCGCTAATACTTCTACTATCTCTACCACTTTGGGATTTGAATAGAAATTTGCATATCTATGCTAATGTAGTATGGTGACTTGAACTGATTTACGTATATGCCAAGTTCTACGTTGTAGTGGACTGGCACACAACAATGAAGAAATCTTCCTTAAAGATTTCAATAATTTTAATCATTTACAAATGTCGACTAACATCAAGCAGCAAAGATTTCTTTGACATTTCATGAATATTTAAATCCCCATGTATCGACCCATTTAGATTAATGCCAATGATTTTGAAAAATACAGATTGTATAAATAAATAATCACTTTATTATATTATAAAGAATTCAACAAGTTTGGTTTGCATGTACAGTATACATTTACGTAACTTGATTCAAAACGAAAAAAGTACCATTACACTTAACTGATTGATTGATTGTGAAAGATAACTGTTAGGATATTCATCCAATATCCTAAGAGAATTATTCGTTAAATCCTATTGATCGATTTCTATTGGTCAAAATTATGGTCGTTTTAACTATCAAAGACAAATATTTCAATGTTGTCTGTTATTGGTCATCCGGACTGTCAATGTCATTTCAAATGTTCTTTCTTATTGGTTGACCTGACTGTCGATGTCACTTCAAATGTTACTTCCTATTGGTCGTCTTAACTGTCAATGCCACAGAATTCGATGCTGTTTCCTATTCGACCAAATGTATAAATATGCATAATCTGTAACATTTTATGACCACAACCGTGCTCGGTCCCGGATCTCTAGTCCGGTATCCTGATTTTCTTCTGGATTTGGACCTCGTACTTTCTGAATGCTTGTAGAATACAGGTTTTACTTCTTATCACGTCTTCTTATTTTTTACTCGATATGTGGGTTGGGATAATCGGATTTGAGTAGTATGTCGTGTGCACCAGATCCTCGATGCTCGCTCTCGTTTTCCGACTAGGTAAACTCGTAATAGTATGTCAAGTATATCAAGTTGACGTGTTTACGTGCAGGCATAACAATAACACTTCTCGACAAAGCATGAACAATTAAGGTAGCAGATGAACATGAATTTAAGTTATTTCATATGTTTCTTGTCGGCTAATTACAACCTAAACATCATAATGGTATTGTTGTTAAACATTAAGAAACCAGTGCATATACTTTATATCATAATATCGAAAAAGTCTTCATCAGTGACGATATTAATGGGAGTGCAATAAGGACTTTAAGAAATATGTGGTGAACGAGAACACAGGTGGGGCAACCGGATTGTATTTAACGAAAATTACAGAGTTACTCAGTAAAATTGGAAAACCATATCGTAAATCGTTCATTTGCAAATTATCAGTCCATCATATCAAACTGGACTGTTCCTGTTACAAAACATCAATCCATTGTCACTATTCATGCGTTTCATACAAATTCCATTGTGTTCTCACTCTTTTCTTTCTTGATCTTCCCCCGTCTTCTGCTGCCAGGCATTACGTTGACACTCACGTTATATACTACTTATAAGTAGCTCGCACCACAAATATTCACTTAGCATTTAAATATTATGTTTTATAATCCTTATTGCTCTTTTATTAATCGTCACTGATGATAACTTTCCTAATATTATCATAGATAGCATGTGCACTAGTTTCTCTAATGTCTCATAATATCATCATTAGGCTGTTTAGGCTGTAATTAACTGATGAGAATTATGCGAAATCAATTGAATTCATGTGATTTTACTACATGACTTATTCTTGCCTCATACAAATTTATTATTATTAAGGAAAAATTGTATGAAATAATAAAATACTACTGTTCTTCTAATTATACCGAATCTGTAATCAGAAAACTAACATTCAAAATCAATGGCAACAGTGATTGATTACAAAGTGGCTAATTGTTTCCAAACATTTTGAAATGATAACCTTCGGATTGTTTCATTGAAGTTTCTAAATATAGAAATGAAATAAAATTAGATTGAAAACACAGTTATTCTATTTGTCAAAAATAACTAGATGCATAGATATATTTCTTTTTATCGAATTTATAAGAAAAGTTAACAACATAGTCTCTTGAATTCTGTTAGGATATTCATCCAATGTCCTAAGAGAATTATTGGTCAAATCCTATTGGTCAATTTCGATTGGTCAAAATTATGGTCGTTTTAACTGTCAAAGTCAAATACTTCAATGTTGTTTCTTATTGGTTGTCCTGACTGTCAATGTCATTTCAAATGTTACTTCCTATTGGTCGTCTTAACTATCAGTGCCACAGAATTCAATGCTGTTTCCTATTCGACCAAAATGTATAAATATGCATTGTCTGCAACGTTTATTGACCACGACCAGTACCAGCGCTCGGTCTCGGATCTCTAGTCTGGTATCCTGATTTTCTTCTGGATTCGGAACTCGTACTTTTTGGACGTTTGCAGAATACAGGTTCTACTTCATATCAAGACTTCTTATTTTACTCAATATGGGGGTTGGGATAATCGGATTGAGTAGCATGTCGTGTCACCGGATCCTCGATCCTCGTTCTCGTTTTCCGACTAGGTATATAAGTATATCAAGTTGACATGTTTACGTGCAGGCGTAACAAATTCACTGAGACTCCGAAACAGTAGTTCTTCAGAGACCTTACAGGTCACCTGATTTTTCTGGCCAGAAATATGTATGCATGTTATATTTTATTAACCGTTTATATCCAAAGTTTTATCTACCCGTTTAGGATTTTACTTGATGAAATTGTGAAAAAAGCTTGTTGTGTGCGTTAGATTCGACGTCTGGCTTACCACTTTATTGTGTCGTTCGATTCAATATAGAGGCTCACTACTTTGATGGCCCATGACCCGGCTCGAATATTTATGAACATTTCAATATGTTATGAAATGAATCTCCCCATCAGTCTTCGTATATCATAAACATAGGCGAACCCCGTCAGTGCTACGGTGTTAATAAGAAGCCAAATACCGATTCGGTGTGATGAATCGATTAAGCATGATTAAGAATTTATTTTTGAAACCATGAATCGATCAATGTTAGACCACCATTAGAAACGTGGAAGCACTGGACGGTCGTTTCGTCCTGGTATGGGACTCCTCAGCAGTGCACGTCCACGACTCCTGCACCCCACAGGATTCTAACCCAGGACCTCCGGTATTGTAGGTGAATGCCTAACCATCGGACCACTGACCCGATGTCTAACGGTGTTAATGTCTAACTTGATCAATTCATGGGGTTGCGCAACCTCATACACAGTCTTCAGTAGTTACTGTCTGCACCCGAACAGATTGAACTTCACTGGTCACGTCTTCTCACTAGAACTCGGAGAAGATTCCTCACGAGGCTAGTCACTAGTTAGCACAGGTAATTTGCATTATGGGGTTGTAAAGATTGTTAAGTTACATATTTTTGAAACGGCCGTCCAGTGCTTCCAGGTTTCTAATGGTGGTCTAATAATGATCGATTCATGGTTTAAAAAATATGTAACTTGACAATCTTCACAACCCCGTAATGTAAGAATTTATTGTCACAAATAAGCGAGGTAGGCGTGCACACACACACCATTAAAATCAATTCAGATATGAACGAATAACTGACAAGGTCATAAGACAAGTAGGACGAGCCCTGTCAGCTAGACATGAAAGCACTCACTACAAGCTCACATTATTTTTGTTGAGGAACCTAACTCACAGAGTGGATAAAATGTCATTTACTTGTAAAAAAAATCGTACAGTATGGCAGCATTTCTCTATTTATTAAGCTTGATAAACATGTTTTGACTGTTTACATTGATTCATTGGTCTCTTAGAAGCATGAAGAGATAATCAAGAATGAAGTAGTGAGATTACACTTGTATATCTAGGTTGAGATGATTAAAAGGTTGCTATAGCTGAATGCCTTTGTCAACCTCGATGCACCTCCATAACTTCAGCTAAAACTGTAAAACTGTAACGACTGAAGATGATCGAACTAAAGCTATGCATACTCACTACTCACTTTCATCTTAATATATTTGGCTACAACAGCAACAAATCAAGTGAAAACAAGATATCAGCACATGAAGTTTAATGGTCGAAAAACTTCACACTATGCTAGGAGCATCTCAATATCTGTGTAGTTTATAGTTGCAGATAGTCAATCGTAAAGCCTCAAAAATTGGTTTCAGTAATATAGAAACAGCAACTGCATTTTTACTCCGTCGACTCACATTCGTCAAATGACCTAAAACTTGGGAGTTATAAGAAAACTGAATACCTAATTCAGGAAACTCGCCTGATATGGAAGATCCAAAACGACTCATTCATTTTCATATTTTTAAATAGTCTTTATTCTACAAACAAAATCTTCCCTGATAGCTTTTATTGACCGGGGGTTAGTAAGAACTTAAAGATTATTTTCCTTAAACCTATCAGGATATTGGTAAAGCTAATAATGTGTAATAACGGATTTCTATTCATTCACTTAAGTAAAAAGTAATCATTGCGAAAATTGAAGGTCGAGAGTTTTGTACCTGATGAAATCATAGCTAGGCACTACTTAGACGCTACTTTGACTGATCAGTGTTACGTTTTGTTGAAATCGTGAACCAATGAATGTTAGACCACCGGACATGGATGAACTCCACAAGTCACTCCATAACCACATACCGACAATCACCATGTGCTCACTAATGACAAGCTTCGTAGGGAAATTCTCAGAGTTCTGGTGAGCAGTCGTTACTAGTGGAATTCAACCATGCCCGGTGTGATTCTCCATTCGAAGAGAAGCACCCATCAAAGTCCATAGATAATGGTCTCACAATATCGTGTGCTCATTGAAGTTAGACATCGACGCCGTTGAATGCTGCTTCACTGATCAAGACCTCAAGCGTTTATGAGTGAAAACGACGAAAGTCCTAGGTTCGATTGTTGCTTGCTTGGTTTTTACTACGCATAAATGGTGAGTTCCATGCTAAGATGAAACAGCCATCCAGTGTTCTCAGGTTTCCAATGCTTGTGTCATATTGTTTGGTTAACCATTTCAATAAAATTCAACAATCTCTTCAACTCTATGCTTACGATGTTCTCTTATCTTTAATTTTGAGATAATGCTATCGATCAAACGTTGTTGCAGTTACTTGTTTACACGATTAGACATCCAGTGCATCATGTTTTGATGATAGATATTTTAAGATAATACACAGAAAATCACGGTCAGTCAGTCAGTTGCAATGTAGAACTTCGTACATATGTACGTAAGTTCATGTTGCCATACCGCATTAGCGCAAAGAAGCAAATGTCAAATCAAATACCATAGTGATAAAGATAGTAGAGGTATTAATGTTAATGAAGAAGACTAGAATTTGAAGATATTATTCAAGAAGTATAATTCAGTGAAATAAGGTTAGAAAGACAAAGTTGGAGGTGCTGACGAATCCAGAAGATTAGGATTTGAGAGAGCTCACCCAACGAATGGATGCACTTGCGCCATTGCAAACAATTTTGAGCCATGTCGTTGTTCAAAGTCTCTAACCATTGGTGACTTTCGCCTCGCGGATCCCAACCAGGTAGTTTGCATCTACCAACATGACTCAGTCCACTTGTCAGTGACTTCATGCATTTCTGCCATGTTTTGGTTTCGCCGCCCCTAGCTAAAAAAAATTCAGTTTCAACCCTTTTTTTGGTTTTAGTGATAACATGTTTGAAGAAATAGAAAGATGATAGTCATAATATCTGTTATGTTATGTTTTTCGAAATCTTCTTACCTTTTCAGTAATAATTTATTTGAATATGATTGAATAAGTGTATCAGAAGAACACGACACGTTCATATTCGCCTCAGTATTATTCAATGCCAATGAATAATCATTGTGAATTTCAATTGGTTTATGCCTTTTGAAGTGGAAATAACATTTTACAAAAAAGCAATGAAAAGATTAACTAATTAGATGTGAAGTTTCAATAGGGGTTTAAAACAACATTCTAGTGAATTGATTCAGTAAAGCAGCAATCATAGTTCCATTTGAAACCCTTTCATATATTACAACCAATCATACTTGTAGTAGTGATTACTTAATTGTATGTTCTGTAATTTTGTTGATTTTGTTAATAGATAGGATTTGATTTTGACTAATTCGGTCTTGTGTTTTGTTACGGGTATGAGGGGGCGGTTGTCACTTCTCGGCTGCCAACAACGTGGAAGGTTGTTTGTTTCTTGAGGAACCTGAAAAGGAAGGTGGATTAGAGTTGTTCTTAACGACCTGAGAGAGTGACCAAAGAGCCCAAGGGACAACTGCTTGAGGCCTTTTTATCAAAGGCACCCTTACCGATGGAGACGGAAATCGGTGAGGTAGGGTGAGGTGTGACATTTTTAGGGTCGACCTTTTCTAACCACTTCTTTCCTTGTGAGAAGGCAGCATCGCTGCAGATGCTGGTTGTCCGAGAGAAACACCTTACTGCTGTCATACCCCTCCACAGTCAGTCAACAGTACGACTTCGCCCTCAGACCTTGAGTAGCTGCTTTTAGTCTCATCGTTCTCCAATCGATCTGCCTGACATGAGAGAACCTTCAGGAACATAAGTTCCAGCCAATATAGCTCGCGGTTGGGTCATGACGATAGGCAAGTCCGACCACCACGTCAAGGTAGCAGCTTCGGTTTTGTACTGTTTTATTTGTTCACTATAGTCTTTTCAGTTGGCATAATCTCATTCGCAGAGTGACAGTGTTAATACATATATATATAATTTGTAGAGGAGTTGGTTTCTTTTAGTCTACGTGAAACATATGTACACAATGTCGATTGACTTTATTTATTATCAACAATGTCTTCAGCACAAACTTGAATCAAATCAACTGAAATTCAAGGGGTATTTGAACGTATGAAACAAAATAGAAATTCCCTGAAATTCACTTTTATCTGAAATTGATGCTATTCGAGTAGACAATCAAAGATTCATTATTCGAGTAATGATATATAGTTACTTACTTACTTACGCCTGTTACCCCCAAGGGAGCATAGGCCGTCCACCAGTTTTATCCAACCAAATCTGTCCTGGGCTTCCCTCTCCAGTTCCACCCAATGTTTGTTCATTCCTCTCATATCTTTCTCTATTTCTCGGCGTAGTGTGTTCTTTGGCCTTCCTCCTTTCCTTTTGCCTTGAGGGTTCCATGTGAGGACTTGTCTCGTGACGCAGTTAGGTACTTTCCGCAATGTGTGTCCTATCCACTTCCACCGCTTCTTCCTGATTTCCTCCTCCACTCGAATCTGGTTTGTTCTCTCCCACAGTTCGTTGTTGCTGATAGTGTCTCGCCAACGAATCCAAAGTATTTTGCGTAGACAACTGTTAGTGAATGCTTGTATCTTTTGGATAATGCTTTCGTAGTTCTCCAAGTTTCCACTCCATACAGTAGAACTGTCTTGACATTTGTGTATTGAAAATGCTGATTTTGGTTTTGGTTGAAAGTTGTTTGGAGTTGCAGATATTTTTCAACTGTAAAATGCAGCCCTCGCTTTGCCAATCCGCACCCACACATCCAACTTGATTGTCGATGATGCTGCCCAGATATGTATAGGTGTTAACGTCTTCCAAGGCATCTCCATCAACAGTGAGTGATTTGGTTGGTGCATGTTGTGTTGCATCGGAGAATTTCGCTTTTTGCTTTATGTATTTTGAGACCTACTGCTACAGATGCTGCTGCTACACTGGTCGTCTTCTCTTGCATTTGTTGTTGAGTGTGCGATAGAAGAGCCAGGTCATCTGCGAAGTCCAGATCGTCCAGCTGCGTCCTAACTGTCCAGTCGATACCGTGCTTCCTTCCAGATAATGATATATAGGGGTTTTGTATTTTAATAATAAATAATTTGAATATAATTTATAACCGAAACAGAAATAATTCTAAACATCTTTAGAAAGCTTATTTCAGTACGACTTACAAGTTAGCATCCACAGTCATTTTGTAGGCTGGAACCTAGAAATATCAGGCTTGTTAGTTAGCCCAACACTCTTAGAATTAATGAATGGAGGACGCTCATTAGTCAACAGTTTGCAACTTTTCGGGGACGTTAGATCCCCAGAACTCATTTCATCCACGGGCTGATCAGTTGACCTTGAGATTACATATACCACTCCGAAAATCCTTGACTGTTATTGGTTGATGTATTATTTTTAGTACATGATTTTTATGGCTCTCCTAAGGACGTTTCGAAAATGTATGCATAAACTCGATTTGTGTGTTTGTTAACCTCATATTTTTCTGGGTGCTTGTAGAATACATTCTCTACTCGTTATCAAAACTTCTTGATATAGTTAGCCGGGCCGGGGATAATCGGATCAGAATAGCTTATTACATCGTTGTGTAGTGAACGAGAACACACGTGGGGCAACCGGATTGTATTTAACGAAAATTACAAAGTTACTCAGTAAAATCGGAAAACCATATCGTAAATCGTTCATTTGCAAAATATCAGTTCATCATATCGAACTGGACTGTTCCCGTTGCAAAACATCAATCCATTGTCACTATTCATGCGTTTCATACAAATTCCATTGTGTTCTAACTAACTCTTCCTTTCTTGATCTTCCCCACATCTTCTGCTGCCAGACATTACGTTGACACTCACGTCATATACTACTTATAAGTAGCTCGCACCACACCCTGATCACTGTTCCAAAATTTGTAAATATACATTGCATACGAATTTCTGCCTAGTAGTTACATCAACAAAGATCAGCCAATCTATGACAAATACAACCAACAAATAAGATGAATGCTTACAAAAAACCCCACATAATCGCGCACTACAGTAGTTGACTCACAAGTGACTAACTTCTAGCTAGAGATATTCCTTAAGTTCCAGGGTGAAGTCATGAGTGGTGGAGTTCAAATATGTCGGGAGTAAATCAGATGTCACTGTAGTGAACGAGAACACAGGTGAGGCAACCGGATTGTATTTAACTAAAATTACAGAGTTACTCAGTAAAACCGGAAAACCATATCGTAAATCGTTAATTTGCAAAATATCAATCCATCATATCGAACTGGACTGTCTGTTCCTGTTGCAAAACATCAATCCACTGTCACTATTCATGCGTTTCATACAAATTCCATTGTGTTCTTCTAACTCTTCTTTTCTTTATCTTCCCCCATCTTCTACTGCCAGACATTACGTTGACACTCACTTCATATACTACTTATACGTAGCTCACACCATATCTGCATTATATGTCTTCACTCTCATTTACCGACTAAGGTGAACTAGTAATAGTTTCAAGCATATCACAACTTTCGTCGATAATCTATCATCATACTGAATCTTCATAGAAGGATAATAACTAGCTGTCCACATATTTACTGCAGTTAATAAGTTGTGAAATACCTTTCTTTGTTAAAGATTTAACAAATCATTCTGACATAAGGGAAAAGTCTATCTTTCATCTGTTAGTTACACTTGTGGAGACCGGTTTCAGTTGTATGCTATATTTATCACTTAATAAACTTATTCAACAAACAAGCCTGTCTTATCCTAGTATACAACTCTTCAACAGAGAATACTCAAGACCTTAATGGAGACTAAACCCAAGGTGTATGAGTCTCTTGGTGAACTCATATGCATTGGCATTGCAGGAAGCCCCGAAGTATCCAACAACAAATTTTTCAGAAACCGGTGGTAGAAAAAAAGTCTAAAACATTTAGCCTGATCAGTATCAAATAGAAACTTTACAATAGTATTCAGAAAATATTAATACCTTTGGCTAGTTTACAATTTCAACTACTGTCTGTCAAATAGTTGAATCAAAGCAGACAACATAAACCCGTTAAAATCGATTATTTCTCTAAACATTATTGAGTAGTTAGTATTCAGTTGATTCCAGCATGTCTTTCTCACTAAATACTATATATATATATATATATATATATATATATATATATATATATATATATATATATATATATATATAAGGCCGGAAATGTTCTTCAATGCTACAAGCCAACCAAATTTGATCAAAATAAAAGAAAATGCCTCATGACAAACAAAATCAAAGGTTGTCTATGTGTGCTTCATTGACATGCTTAGTTTTGATAAGCAAAGTCATAATACAATTCCATAAATAGGTATGCCTGCCTATTTTTCGCATTTTTTTTTTCATCTTTACGACCAACAAACAAACAACAAGGCTAGTTAGTTGATAATCTATGACAATTACTACACATTGAAATCCAAGTGATGATAGCCATTCGGTATATAAAGAGAATGAATGATTTTTTATTGAGCTGCAAAGTAAAACAAACTGACTTACATACATTCAATTATGGTGATTATTTGGCTAATTTAGAAAAATTTGAACAGAGAGAGAAATGAGAAGACATATTTTGTGTGAGATAGTGGTACCATTTCGTGTACCATTTCTCGTCAGTCACATACATACAAGCAACATGTTATTTGTGTGTAAATACAGTCGGGACAGTACCTCCACTTCACTAGTTTCTGCCCCAAGCCCCATAAACGTTCTGTTGTCAAAACTTTATTCTCTCAAACAAGTAGAATCTGCACTGCTGCTGATACATTGGACGACGAATTCAAGTTTATTACTGACACACTTAAATCAAACGGATATCCCGAAACGTTTATTGGTCATCAGAACACAACTACAACAAAGCTGATAGCAACTGATGTGCGCAAGAAACCAGTGTACCTACAGTTACTTTTCAAGGGTGATCATTGCATGAAAATTACAACCAAACAGACTGCAGCTGCAATAAAAAAGATCTTCAATGCAGTTAATCTGAGGCTTATCACAACAACTCAATCGATCTCAGTTAGCCCAATCAAATCTCCAAGACCGATTCAGTCCAAATCCCACTGTATTTACCAATTCATATGTAACTGCGGAGAAAGTTACTTGGGTAGGACAGATCGCCGATTGGAAGACAGGATAGGTGAACATATTCCAAAATGGTTAATCAAATCCATGATTCATCAACCTAGCCCATCATCTCAAGATCGATCAAGAAACTCAGCCTCGTCCATTGCAAAACATCTAATGATGAGTGGTCATCAAATTGACCCAAAATCAGCCTTTAAAGTTGTGACATGTCATCAAAATCCATACACACTGAAACTACTCGAAGCTATCTTGATTGGTCGGAAAAGTCCAACTTTATGTGTTCAAAAACAACTGTATGTTGACCTTTGTTTACCATTGTTCTAGTGAGTGAGTGAATGTCATGCTAAATAAGAAATTTTGACCTTATCTTCAAAACTGTATTTACACAAATAACATGTTGCTTGTATGTATGTGACTGACGAGAAAGCACGAAATGGTACTACTACTATCTCACAAAATATGTCTTCTCATTTCTCTCTGTTCAAATTTATCAAAGGGAACCACTGTTTTTAATTAGAAAAATACCGATTTATTTCAGTAGAATCAATCAAGTTATGCAGTGAAATACAAGATAGAAGAAGCGAGAAAACACCGTAGTGTAGAAAATAGCAATAAAGTTTATTGTCACATTCAATAAATTTGTTTCTTTCAGAATCTTAAGTAATATACTGAATTTTCAAGAAAATAGTTAACTGCAAGCAACTGAACGAAAGGTTGTGAAGGAGTTCGGTTCTCGCTGATCTGGATGTTTTGGTTGTGGAGCTTTAATTGTTCGTCTGAATAACAAACATCATCAGAAGCACAAACTTTAGATAGAAATGAAGTATTCGAACTTCTCCACATTTGACCCATAGCTTGTTCTGTTAACCTCGATCTTCATTCGCTTTCATTGACCTTAAACCTGCCGTTGTTTGCGCCTTTACTTTGATTGTACCTCCCTTTTATCTGTTTCTTAATCCTATATTTGCCTGTAATTCTTCTGATTGATTGATAAACACAAATGACGATTCGAAACTCGAATTCTTTTCCGTGCTGGATGGAGTCCTCACTCATAATGGTATCATTAAATGAAGAAACTCAACAGGAAAGAAGACAGACCATCTTACAAATAACTCGGTGGAAGAGAGACGAAAACCAACTTATAGCACAAGAACGAAAGGTCTTGAGAAAACTCAGAACTAGGGAAGATAGTGTCATACTTTCAGCGGACAAAGGACACACTACAGTAATTACGGACAAGGAAGAATATATAAGGAAGGAAAGCTGAGGAACTACTTGGGACAAAAGCACATATAAACCAATCGGCACAAAACCAATAAAAATTTGGGCAACTAAATCCCAAGGACTCTAAACAAGTTGAATTTCAAAACAGTATCAGTAGAGAATGAAATACATTAGAACAGTAATCCCACTGTGGTGCGCGCTACTTATAAGTAGTATATGACGCGAGTGTAAACGTAATGTCTGGCAGCAGAAGATGGGGGAAGATCAAGAAAGGAAGAGTTAGTTAGAACACAATGGAATTTGTATGAAACGCATGAACAACAGTGAAATGTCAGACAATGGATTGATGATGGAATGAAGATTTGCAAATTAACGGTTACGATATGGTTTTCCGATTTAACTGAGTAACTCTGTAATTTTCGTTAAATACTATTCGGTTACCCTCACCTGTCTTCTCCTTCACTACACCACGATTCTATGGTAGGCCGAAACTACAAAAACCCAACATTTTACTATGTCCTCATGACATGAAAGAGCCAAGCTCAGCTAAAGAATCTCTATCCCTACTCTCTTCATCAACAGCATAAATCTCCAAAACTGTACGAAACTTCAGAGTTAAATTCTCCTAGAATTCATCAATTTATGTCTAACAACGTATTTCCAATTCAAAAACAGAATTTGCGAACAAACAGAAAGAACACCAACGGAATCATCAACATCAGGACTCACCTTAGGAGCTGTGATGTAGAGACTAGAAGCGCAAGTTTTACCATTGATCAAGTCAAAAAAGTAAGTTCGCTATGTAGACGGCACATTGTTCATTGATTCACAAGGAACGAGCTGGAGAACATCTACAATCTAATCAACTACGTCTGTGATGACATAAAATTCAAAATACAAAAAGGATTTTAGAAAATCAAGTGCCATTCTTGAATGTATTAATTACCAGAACTGTCACATAAAAATTGGAGACTCAAGTATTTCGGAAGCCAAGGCATATAGATTTAATTCTCCATTACACCAGCAACCACCCAAGAACCCACAAAATCAACTGCTTACAAACTTTACTCAAGAGAGAGAAGACACACTGCAGCACATACAAAGCATTAAAAAACGAGGAAAAATACCTGATGAAAATCTTCCAAAAGAACGGCTATCCACGTAACTTCATCAAAAAGATATCAACTGAAACCATTGGCAGAAGCGAAATCAAGTCCAGGAACCATTAAACAGATCATTCTACCACTCATAAAAGACGTTTAGGAAACTACAGCACGACTGGTGAAACCATTTAGAATGAGTGTGGCACACAAGCCAACAGAGTCACTTCAACTAATCCTATGTAGATGTTGGGGGTGTTAGATCCCCAGAACTCGCTTGATAAATGCCTTATTATTTGGATTTCACGTTTGCCAGCATGAGCTGATCAGTTGACCTTGAGATTTCATTTCCCATCAGGAAAATCCATGGCTGTGATTGGCTGTTGTTTATTTTAATGTGCTATCTTCATAACTGTCCCACTAGGACGTCGTTTCTATGATGTATAAATAAACGAGAGTTGTATGCTTGATTGTATTGTGTGATTGCTTGGTGTTTGTAGAATATACTTTCTACGCTTATCAAGTCTTCTGTTTTGCAGTTCTGGGATTCAAGGTAGCCTATCTGGTCGCTGATAATTGTCTCGTTCACGTTTATCGACTAAGGTGAACTGGTAATAGCTTCAAGCGTACCAAGTGACGAGCGTAACAGTAGACCAAAGGAAAAATTACCAAGGAAGAAAAACCAAATATCATCTACAAAAAACAATTGATCAGACTGTGATAAACACTACATCGGAACAAAGTGGACATCCTTTTCAGCTTCGCTTGCGTGAACATCAATTAGCAGTCTAACGCCATGACATGTTATGTACATACATCCGATTAGAACAATGTTGAATACATTATTCTAACGATTTTGGCGGTATCTTAAATGTAATTATTTTTCAATTTTCCTCCTTCGATTATTGTTTTTTGTAGATTTCTACTCCATTATACTTGACTTGTTGAAATGACATTGAACTACTTGACTCAATGCGCATCCGTGTTGGATCTAATGTTGAAAAATCCATTCTTCAGTTGAGTTTATACAATTTAAACTACCGAATCAATCAATTAGTCAATGAGCAGTAACGTAGAACTTCGTACATACGTACGTACATCAGATCAAGTTGCCATACCATATTAGCACAGAGATGTGATTGTCAGTTCGAATCCCATAGTGGTAGAGATAGTGAAAGTATTCACGGTAATCGAGAAGATTAAGATTCGTAGATACTATCCAAGATGTAGAATCTAGTGAAATAAACTTAAAAGAAAAAGATGAATGTGATGAGGAATTCAAAAGGTTGGGATTTGAGAGAACACAATGAATGAATACACCTGCGCCATTGCAAAAGGTTTTGAGCCCGATCATTCAGGGTTCCTAACCATCGATTACTATCAACCAGGTAGTCAACACTTAGCAACATGACTCTTTTCACTAGTCAGTGATTTCATGGATTTGTGCCATATTTTGGTCTGGCCGCCGCTAGTTTTCGTCCAACCTATTCCTACATCGAGAAACATAGCTCGACGAGGCAGTCGGTAGTTAGGCATACGTAACACATGTCCAAACCACCTCAACTGATGAAGTTTCACTAATTCGTCTACTGACCTGTTGTCCTTATCTAGCACTGGTTGCCTAACAACGGCATAGTTTTGGTTTTCGTCACTTAGTATGCTTGAGGCTATTACGAGTTCAATTTAGTCGATAAACGCGAACGAGACTTTTACCAGAGTCCAGGTAGGCTACCTTGAATCCCCAAATAGAGAAAAAAGACTTTGTAAGCGTAGAAAATATATTCTACAAACACCCAGCAATCACACAACACAATCAAGCATACAACTCTCGTTTATTTATACATCATAGAAACGACGTCCTAGTGGGACAGTTACGAAAATAGCACACTAAAATACACAGCAGTCAATCACACAGCCATGGATTTTCGTGGTGGGAAATGAAATCTCCAGGTCAACTGATCAGGCCATGCTGGCAACCGTAGAATCAAAAATAAGGCATTCAAAAAGCAAGGTTTGGGGATCTAACATCCCCAACAGCATAGCTTACTCTGTTGTCCCAAGATACACGAACAATGCTTCGGGAGACATTGCCAAATAGATTAATCTAAAATAACTAGATAGAAACTTTACTAATAAAAAGCTTGTCTAAAACGACACCAAACCATAAGTGACAACATATTACTAACTGCTGCTAAAATGATAAATTTTTTTTAGAAAAAAAATGCGAAAAAAAACATACAATTTTATATATATATACTACTCAAAATCTACTTACTTTAAATAAACACGAAATAATTTCGATTGGATTTTCCCCTCATCAAGTTGATCAATGTTAGTTCCTTATTTTTATTTTATTTTTTTTTGAGGTCAGAGGTATAAAATAATAAAAAATTGTTTAGAAATAAAATAAATATGAAGAGTTCAATCAAATAAATAATATATAAACATACATCAATAAATTTTTTTTAAATGTAGGTTAAAATAGAACTAATATAGAACTTGATCTATCCATCTATCTATCTATCTATCAATCATCTCTTCAAAGTATTGCTTCAATATCAATATCAATGTGTAGAAAAAAAGAGACTTTTTATTTGTTACCTTAAAATTCAATCTATGTTTCTTCTAATGTTGTTTATCAATGTAAGTAACTTCTATTGGTAAAGTTAGGGTTGGATATATATATATATATATATATATATATATATATATATATATATATATATATATATATATATAAATTGTAAAAATCAATGAGACTAATGTCAGAAAACAAAAATTCAATGGTGGAGAAAGTATGAGAGAAGACGACTATACTTAGACACCTTACTAGTGCTCGTGAAGAGCAGATTAGAGAAAACCAAGCTGGTTTCAGACCTGGACGTGGATGTATAGACCACATCTTCACACTAAGATAGGACCTGGAACACAACAGACACACATTTACGCGTCCTACAATAGTTGTGTTCCTGGACCTTAAGGCGGCATTTGACTCAGTGGATAGTGAGGTTCTGTGGCAGTTTCTCTCACTGAAAGGTGTACCTAAGAAGTACATTAACCTTATACAAGCTCTCTACTCGAACACCACTGGTCGAGTGAGAGCTTATGGCGAACTGTCACCGGAATTTGTTACTTCAAGTGACGTCCGTCAGGGATGTCCACTCTCTCCATTCTTGTTTAATGTTGTCATAGACATGCTGTTAGATGTAACCTTATCCTCTTCTGAATTTTCAGGAGTAGACCTTCTTCCAGGTGGCTCGCTTATTGACTTAGAATATGCCGATAAACATAGTGAAGATGCGGACAAAGTGCCGAGTATTCTGACCACCCTAAGCAACAATGCGAGCGTGTTCGGCATGCAGTCCTCACCGTCGAAATGCGAAAGGTTGCTTCAAGACTGAGTTGCATCGGCACCTGAACTAGTGATTGGGAGTGAAGTAGTCGAGCGTGTTGATCACTTCACTTATCTTGAGAGTCTCATCAATGCTGATGGCTTGGTGAATGACAGAAGGCTCGATTGGCTTTTGCTAACCTGCGTCACTTATGGCGTAGGCGAGATATCCGTTTGCTGACTAAAGGACGAGTGTACTGTGCAGCAGTTCGCTCCGTCCTACTGTACGGATGCGAGACTTGGCCGTTAGGGTAGAGGACATTCGTAGGTTACAAGTCTTCGATCATCGATGTCTCTGAAGCATTGCTCGTGTATCATGGGACAACCGTATAAGCAATGCTGTCGTTAGGAAACGAGTTCTAGGTAGGGATGGCAAATCAATAGATGAAGCATTGAAACTTCATCAGTTGAGGTGGTTGGGACATATGATACGTATGGCTAATCACCGACTGACTCGACGAGCTATGTTTTGCAGTGTAGGAGTAGATTGGAAGAAAGCTAGGGGCGGCCAAACCAAAACATGGCGGAAATTCATGAAGTCACTCACAAGTGGACTGAGTCATGTTGGTAGATGTAGACTACCTGGTTGGGGTCCGCGAGACGAAAGTCACCAAAGGTAAGAGACTTTGAACGACATGGCTCAAAATCGTTTGCAATGGCACAGTGCATCCACTCTTTGCGTTCTATGAAATTCTAAGCTTCTGCATTCCTCATAATCTCTACCTTTCTCTTTCTTAATTTATCTTACTGAATTATACTTCTTGCATAATAATATCTTCGCTCCCTAATCTTCTCCATTACTGCTAATACTTCTATTATTGCTATCACACTCGGATTTGAACTGACAGTTGCATCTCTCTGCTGATGTGGCATGGCAACCTGAACTGTTCTGTGTTGTATCTGTCTGTCTGTCTATGAGAGAAGACGGAGTAAGTAACAGCTCCTAAAGTAAACTTAGTAGGTCTTCAGTATTTATGATATGTCTACACGAAATGAACATTTCCTGAAAGTTAAAAAGTCACAGACTACACAACATTGATCTCAAATATACGGAAGTGAATGCAACACTGTGCCATAATATACACAGAAGACTGGATGGTTTATAGATCGTTATTTAGATTTAGTTACGTTTATTGTGTCATCTTCCACTAATCAGTCAGTCAGTCAGTTGCAACGTAGAACTTCGTACGTATGTACATAAGTTCATGTTGCCATACCACATTATTAGCACAGAGACGCAAATGTCAAATCAAATCCCATAGTGATAAAGATGGTAGAGGTATTAATGTTATAATAAAGAAGACTAGGGTTTAAGATATTATTCAAAAAATATAATTCAGTGAGATAAGGTTAGAAAGACAAAGGTAGAGGTGCTGGCTAATCCAGAACATTAGGATTTGAGAGAGCTCAAAGAGTGGATGCACCTGCGCCATTGCAAACGATTTTGAGCCATGTCGTTCAAGGTCTCTAACCATTGATGACTTTCGTCTCGCGGACCCCAACCAGGTAGTCTACATCTACCAACATGACTCAGTCCACTTGTCAGTGACTTCATGCATTTCTGCCATGTTTTGGTCTGGCCACCCCTAACTTTCTTCCAACCTACTCCTACACCACAAAACATAGCTCGTCGAGGCAGTCGGTGGTTAGGCATACGTAACACATGTCCCAACCACCTCAACTGATGAAGTTTCACCACTTCATCGATTGATCTGCCATCCTTACCTAGTACTCGTTTCCTAACGACAGCATTGCTTACTCGGCTGTCCCACGATATACGAGCGATGTTTCTTAAACATCTATGATCGAATACTAGTAACCTACGAATATCTTCTACTCTTAACGGCCATGTTTCACAGCCATATAAGAGAACGGAACGAACTGCTGCGCAGTACACCCGCCCTTTGGTCAGCAAACGGATATCTCGCCTACGCCATAAGTGACGCAGGTTGGCAAAAGCCAATAGAGCTTTCTGTATCCGAGCTGAGATTTCGTCAGTCACCAGACCGTCAGCACTGATGAGACTCCCCAGATAAGTGAAGTGATCTACACGCTCGACTACTTCACTCCCTATCACTAGTTCAGGTGCCGAAGCAACCCAGTCTTGAAGCAACATTTTGCATTTCGAGGGGGAAAACCGCATCCCGAACATGCTCGCATTGTTGCTTATGGTAGTCAGAAGACTCTGCATTTTGTCAGCGTCTTCACCGAATAGAACTATGTCATCGGCATATTCTAGATCAGTAAGCGACTTTCCTGGTAGAAGGTCAACCCCTGAAAAATCTGACGAGCTTAATGTTAAATCTAAGAGGATGTCTACGACAAAGTTGAACAAGAATGGAGAGAGTGGGCAGCCCTGACGGACACCACTTGATGTAGAGAATTCCGGTGACAGTTCGCCATAAGCCCTCACCCGACCAGTGGTGTTCGAGTAGAGTGCTTGTATAAGGTTAATGTACTTCTTTGGTACACCTTTCAATGACAGACACTGCCACAGAACCTCACGATCCACTGAGTCGAATGCCGCCTTAAGGTCCAGGAACACGACTATTGTCGGACGTCTAAATGTGTGTCTGTGTTCCAGGACCTGTCGTAGTGTGAAGATGTGGTCTATACAACCACGTCCAGGTCGAAAACCAGCCTGGTTTTCTCGAGTCTGCTCTTCGCGAGCTCTAGTTAGACGTCTAAGTATAATCGAGGCTAACAATTTAGAAACTATATTAGTTAAACGTATTCCCCTGTGATTGTCACAAGAGGACTTCTGTCCTTTCTTGTAGATTGGGACAATTAGCGACTGAGACCAGTCAGATGGGATTACGTCCATTTCCCAGATTCTACCTAGGATCTCGGTCAGTCTAACTGTTAAAACTGGACCACCATCCTTAAACATCTCAGGGGTAAGCCTATCGGGACCTGCCGCTCTACCTCTCCTTAGATTTCCTATAGCTTTCTCAACTTCATGTAAACTGGGAGGACTTAAATCGATTTGCCATTCAGGATGACTGGAGATCGCGGGCAACCGAAGAGTGGCTGAAGGCCAGTTGAACTGATCCCTAAAGTGTTCTGCCCATCGGTCCAGCCTCCTAGATTGAGAATGGATAATAAGACCATCCTTTTCCGAGATAGTCTCACTTACATTCGGGTTCCTAATACCGGTTTCTTTGATAAGGCGGAAAAGTTGTCTAGTGTTGCCTATCGCCGCTGCCTTTTCCATCGCTTTTGCTTTCGCCACCCACCACTGTTCACGGTCGTTACGTAGGCTTTTTATAAGTCTGCGCCTAAGTTGAGTACGCTCTTCATCATGTTCAGAGTCAGGTGGGATGCGTTTTCGTGCATCCATCAGTTCGGTGGATGCGACTGAAATCCACTGCTTCATCCTAGCCTCATGGTTTACCTTGCTAGCAGATATCACTGCTGTTTCCACAGCCTTCTTTATATCATTCCAACCTGACTCCGGATGGGAATCACTTGCATGATCGCCTAACTGTTTTTCTAGTTCCTCCTGAAATATTTTCTTAGCTTGATTATCATCAAGTAAAGCCCTAAGAGGCTTCCTTACGGTGTCTTTCCTACGTCCAGCAAGCCTCAAACAAATACGTGCTCGCACTAGGGCATGATCTGAATCTAAACATGTGCCCCAGAACGAGCGACAGTCCTCTATCGAACCCCTCCATCGGTGGCTGATGGCGATATGATCTAGTTGTGTCCAACGTTGAGACGACTTCGGGGGTCGCCAGGTCAAAAGGTGTTTTTCCTTATGCTTAAAATTAGTGTTTGCTAGAAATAGTTGGTTATCTGAGCACAGTTGCAACAGACGGTCACCATTGTCTGTTCTTTGAGCCGCGAGACCGTAACATCCACCTAGGTGTCTTTCATTTTCACTTAGTCTACCTACTTGTGCATTGAAGTCACCAGCCATTATAACTATATCAGAGCGCTTAACTTTTTGGAGGAGGTCCGAAAGCTTTCTGTAAATCTCATCTTTTACATCATCTGGGCTGCAGTCAGTGGGGGCGTAGGCTGATATGACGAAGAGGCAACGGCGAGTGTCCCTATCTTTCCGAGTCCTTACTGTCCCGTTGAGTCGGACGGCGCACAAGCGACTATCTACAGGGATCCAGTCAAGGAGAGATTGTTCTGCCCTACGACTCAATGCTATACCTACACCGGCGAGGCCCCTAGAAGCAGCATCAGGGCTACCGGATACACGAAGAGTAAATCGAGTTGCTTCTTCGTTTTGACAAGGCGAATTCAGACTAATAATTTTACTAGGATCCTGTATGCGCGTTTCCGAGACGCAGCACAGATCGATGGCGCGAGATGATAGAGTCTAGCTAAGGAAGCCTGTTACCCTATTTGATACAATGTCCGTACATTTAAAGCTCCAACATGTAGTCTAGAACGGGGTTTCAGGAGACCAGGAACAACTTTTCGTGAAGTTGCATCGTTTGGATTAGCGGTGCAGTCAGATAAGGGAATGTGAGTAGAGTTAGTTGTGGAGAGAAGAGAGGTATGTGTGGGTGTAGGAAGGATTTGATTTCGACCAATTCGGTCTCGTGCGTTGTTACGAGTATGAGGGCGGTTGTCACTTCCCGGCTGCACACACCGTGGAAGGTTGTTACTTGAGGGACCTGAAAGGGAAGGTAGATTAGTATTGGTCTTAGAGACCTGGCTGCGTGAGCACAGAGCTCAAGGGACAACTGATTCAGGCCGGTTATGAACGGCCTTTTTATGAAAGGTTTTTTGAATATTAGCTCCGCTCTTGAAAGCCCTTCGTGGGCACCCTTACCGACGGAGACGGAAATCCGTGAGTTAGGGGGAGTGTGACATTTTTAGGGCCGACCTTTTCTAACCCTTCCTTCCTTGTGAGAAGGCAGCATCGCTGCAGATGCTGGTTGTCCGAGGGAAACACCTTACTGCTGTCACACCCCTCTGCAGTCAGCAGTACGACTTCGCCCTCAGACCTTGGGTAGCTGCTTTTATTCTCATCGTTCTCCAATCGACCTGTCTGGCATGGTAGGACCTGCAGGAACATGTGTTCCAGCCAGTATAGCTCGGTTGGGTCATCACGATAGGCAAGCCCGACCACCACGTCAAGGTAGCAGCTTCAGTCGGGTCTTCCACTAATGGCATTTCGTAGACCCCACCACAGGAGTCCGATACTAATAAAATAGGAGCTATGCGCTGCAGGATAAAGGTTTCTGAGACATTATGACAGCTCCAGAGGTCAACGTTTGTGGAGTCACATCAATGAGTTTTTGTACCGTAAGCATTACGAGTTTAGAACCGCAGAGGCTCTTACTAACCTGTATACATATCTAAATCATGCTTATTCGATGAGATTAATTGAAGAAAGTTCTTGAGGACGTTAGATCTCTAGAACTCACTTGGATAAGGTACTAATTTTCTAATGTTATTCTGCGATTTCGAATTTTATATATTTTCGTGACAGAGATGCTAAGAGGACCTTAAGCTTGCATTTCCCACTCTGAAAATCCTTGACTGTCATTGGTATGCTATTTTGTGACTCTCAACAAGGGCGCTTCTTTCACTGTATAAATAAGCTTGAGTTGAGGGCTTGGCAGCCTCGTCGTATTTTCTGGGTGCCTTATCAAGAATTCTTGCTTTTGTTAACGCGGCCTGTTGACAATCGGATTAAAATAACCTATCGTGTGACTGCATCATTTATCTGCGCTCCGTTAACCGAGTAAGGTGAACTCGTAATATTGTTAAGCGTATCAATTGACGAGCATATCAAAAGTATACTTTTAATTGTAGAAGATCTCACTTCAAATACGGTTTTAACTTAGCTAGACTATTGGCGTAATTAAGCGAATATTTGAACGGAGAAAATGCGTAAATCAATTCTTTATAATTTATAAATTTCATTGTACTTTAAACTATTAAACTACCTCGTATCCAAAGTTCATAAATATCTTGTCTTCCGCTTAATTTCTGTTCTTTCCACATTTCATCCTGCTTCAATTGAGTTTCATTGTCAAATTCATGAATAGTTGAGTTTGTTGAACGTTTAATCAAACGTAACTGATTATGAAATTCTCCATTGTCTATGCATTGTTCATTGACTTCTGGGAATAAACTAACAGTACCTGTGTTCAAGCTAATTACATATGGATTAGGTAAGCTAATTTGTAAAGAATGTTGACAAAATTGTTCAAGGTCGCAGTCAGCCATTTGGTTTGAGTGATGCATTTCAGCTTGATGTGTATTAATCGACTGCTCATGTTGTAAGCAATGATTCAATGGATAAATGAGCAAATTGTTTGATAAAACTAAACAGACAACTATCTAAAATTTCGGCGGAGAGAAAACAAAACGAATGTAGATAGATTACGGGGTTGTGAAGATTATTAAGTTACACATTGTTGAAACAATGAATCAATCAATGTTAGTAGACCACTATTAGAAACCTGGAAGAAGCACTGACGGACGTCCGTTTCGTTCTGGTATGGGACTCCTCAGTGGCAGTGCGCATCCACGACTACTGAACCCAGCAGGATTCGAACCCAGGACCTTCGGTATTGTAGGCGAACGACTAACAATGTGTAACTTAACAACCTTCACAACCCCGTAGTGCAAATTACCTGTGCTCACTAGTGACTAGCTTCGTGAGGAATCTTCTCTGAATTCCAGTGAGAAGACGTGACCAGTGAAATTCAACCTGTTCGGATGTAGACAGTAACTACCGTAGACTGTGTATAAGGTTGCGCAACTCCGTGAATTGATCAAGTTAGATAATAACACCGTTGGATACCGGCTCAGTGGTCCGATGTTAAGGCGTTCACCATACCGAAGGTCCTGGGTTCGAATCCTGCAGGGTGCAGTAGTCGTGGATGCGCACTGCCACTGAGGAGTCCCATACCAGGAGGAAACGGCCGTCTCTCAGTGCTTCCAGGTTCCTAATGGTGGTCTCACATTGATCGATTCATGGTTTCAAGAATGTAGATGGATAAAAATTAACACAATCTTATAATGTAAAAAAAAGTGGAAGCCGTTTGGCACAAATAACAATGGATTTAGTTTTTAGCCTTAGTGTTGGGGATGTTAGATCCCCCAGAACTTGCTTGATATAAATATCTTTATTTTGGATTTAGTTCATGGACCGATCAGTTGATCTTGAGATCACATTTCCCACCAGCGAAATCCTTGACTGTGATTGGTTGATGTGTTATTTTAGTGTGTGTCATTTTTGTGACTCTCCTAAGGACGTCTCTGTGGTGTATGAATAAACGCAATTTGAGTGCTTGGATTCATTCATTGTGTGCTGGCTGGGCTGTGTTTGTAGAATAAACTTTCTACACTAAATCAAGACTTCTTGCTGATTCATTTTGATCAAGGGATCAATTAAGCCTACCTGGACACTGGTTCATTGTTTTGTTCTCGTTATTCGACTAAGCTGAACTCGTAATAGTTTTCAAGCATACCTAGAGTCGAACGTAACACTTAGTTTTTACCACTTGCCAAGTATGCCCAGTATATTTGTAGTCTTTAAAAAGATTGATACTTGTAACAATCAAATAAAATGTACACTGTAATATTAGGTCAAGTATACTCATAGCCTAAATTATCCGGTGCAACACAACATGCACCAACCAAATCACTCACTCTTGATGGAGATGCCTTGGAGGACATTAACACCTTTACATATGTGGGCAGCGTCATCGACGAGAAAGGTGGATACGATGCAGATGTGAGGACGCGGATTGGCAAAGCAAGAGCTGCATTTCTACAGTTGAAAATTATCTGCAACTCCAAACAACTTTCAACCAAAACCAAAATCACGATTTTCAATACAAATGTCAAGACAATTCTACTGTATAGAATGGAAACTTGCCGAACTACAAAAGCCATCATGCAGAAGATACAAGTGTTTATTAACAGTTGTCTACTCAAAATACTTCGGATTCGTTGACCAGACACCATCAGCAACAACCTATTGTGGGAGAGAACAAGTCAGATTCCAGTGGGGGAGGAAACCAGGAAGAAGCGGTGGAAGTGGATAGGACACACATTGCGAAAAGCACCTAACTGCGTCATGAGACAAGCCCTCACATAGAACCCTCAAGGCAAAAGGAAAAGAGGAAGGCGAAGGAACACACTACGCCGAGAAATAGAGAAAGATATGAGAGGAATGAACAAACATTGGACAGAACTGGAGAGGGAAGCCTAGAACAGACAGAGTTTGTTGGAGAAAACTGGTGGGCGGTCTATGTTCCATTCGGGGTAACAGGCGTATTTAAGTAAATAATTAAGTAAGTAATACTCACAGACTAAATGTGACGTGATTAACTCAGATCAACATAACACTAACTATCGATCGATCGATAGTATGAATATAAACATCTGAAATAAATGAAAATATCCACAAGGAAGTTATGGACAAAAATTATTTTTTCTCCTGCTTAAACAAACTTTTATCTTTATTGGTCAGCAAAAAGAAGATTTTTGAAAAAAAATCAAGATTATAGACGAATATTATTCCTGTCTGATGTGAGCATGTTTGGGATGAGGTTTTCCCCCTCGAAGTGCAAGATGTTGCTTCAAGATTGGGTTGCATCGGTACCTGAACTAGTGATAGGTAATGAAGTAGTCGAGCATATTGATCGCTTCACTTATCTGGGGAGTCTCATCAGTGCTGATGGCCTGGTGACTGACGAAATCTCAGCTCGGACACAGAAAGCTCAATTGGCTTTTGCCAACCTGCCTCACTTATGGCGCAGGCGAGATATCCGTTCGCTGACCAAAGAACGGGTGTACTGAGCAGCGGTTCGCCCCGTTCTCCTATATGGCTCTGAAACGTGGCCGTTAACAGTAGAAGATGTTCGTAGGTTACTAGTATTCGATCATAGATTTTTAAGAAGCATTGCTCGTATACCATGGGACAATCGAGTAAGCAATGCTGTCGTTAGGAAACGGGTGCTTGGTTGGATGGCAGATCAATAGATGAAGTAGTGAAACTTCATCAGTTGAGGTGGTTGGGACATGTGTTACGTATGGCTAACCACCGACTGCCTCGACGAGCTATGTTTTGTGGTGTAGGACTAGGTTGGAAGAAAGCTAGGGGCGGCCAGACCAAGTCACTGACAAGTGGACTGAGTCATGTTGGTAGATGTAGACTACCTGTTTTGGGTCCGCGTGATGATAATAATTGATGGTTAGAGACCTTGAATGACATGGATCAAAATCGTTTGCAATGGCACAAGTGCATCCATTCGTTGTGTTCTAATCCTAATCTTCTGGATTCGTCAGCACCTCTACCTTTGTCTTTCTAACCTTATCTCACTGAATTATACTTCTTGAATAATATCTTCGAACCCTAGTCTTCTTCATTACCATTAATACCTCTACTATCTTTATCACTGTGGGATTTGATTTGATATTTGCGTTTCTGTGATAATGTGGTATGGCAACATGAACTTATGTACACACGTTCGAAGTTCTACGTTGCAACTTACTGACTGACTGACCTGTCTGATACCAAAATTACTGAATGGCACTTTGAGAAATGTAGCAAATGCATAGATGAAAGAAAGGTGGTGTAAAAAAGCCCGACAGAGAGAGAGAGATACATAAAAAAGACGAGTTGTTATGTTCGTCACTAACTATGCTTGAGAATATTACGAGTTTACCTTAGTCGATAAACGCGAACGAGACAATTACCAGCGTCCAGATAGGGTACCTTGAATCCCAAGCTGAAGTAAAAAGGCTTTGTAAGCGTAGAAAGTATATTCTACAAACACCCAGCAATCACAATACATAATACAATCAAGCACACAACTCTCGTTTATTTATTACATCATAGAAACGTCCTAGTGGGACAGTTACGAAAATAGTACACTAAAATACACAGCAGCCAATCACAGCCATGAATTGAGCTGGTGGGAAATGAAATCTCAAGGTCAACTGATCCAGCCCATGCTGGCAAACGTGAAATCCAAAAACTAAGGCATTTATCAAGCGAGTTCTCCGGGGATCTAACATCCCCAACACAAGTTTAGCAAATACATTAGTGTAGATGTACTGTGAATTCTTTTTGGTTGTAGCCAATTACTTACTACTTGGATAGCAAAAGAAAAAGTGTCAAATAATGTGCTCAACAAAAAGAGACAACCAGAAGAGTGGGTTGTTGTTTTAAATCATTCAGGACATTATTTACTAATAATTCATCAGAGTTAGACATTAACACTGTTTGATGCCGGCTCAGTAGTAGACCAGAGGTTAGGCATTCGTGAGTAAGACCGATGGTCCCGAGTTCGAATCCTGCGAGGTGCAGGAGTCATGGATGCGCACTGCCACTGATGAGTAGTCCCATACCAAGAGGAAATGACCGTTTCTCAGTGCTTCTAGGGTTTCTAATGCTAGTTTAACAATGACTGATTGATGATTTCAACGTACATGCAAAAACCTCACATTTAACGTTGTAGTGAACGAGAATACAGGTGAGGGCAACCGAGTTGTATTTAACGAAAATTACAGAGTTACTCAGTAAAATAGGAAAACCATATCCTAAATCGTTCATTTGCAAAATATCAATCCATCATATCGAACTGGACTGTTCCTGTTGCAAAACATCAATCGATTGTCACTATTCATGCGTTTCATACAAATTCCATTGTGTTCTTCTAACTCTTCCTTTCTTGATCTTCCCCCATCTTCTTCTGCAGCCAGACATTACGTTGACACTCACGTCATATACTACTTATAAGTAGCTCACACCACAACGTGAATTTTTTTAAGTCTTTCTAATAATACAGAGACAATGAATTCGCAATTATTCATAATTTGATTATTCTTTTTTGCGCAAAAACTCATAAAATTTATATTTCAAATTATCATACAAAGTATTTTTTTATTCTAATGTTAACTTACACTGAAATTATCATTATCCACGCTTAAAATTGTAATGGCTTGACAACGGAATTTCTTTTTACCTCTATATAGACAAATAAACAGTAAGAAAAAATGTTAATCAGTCTTTTCTACTAGTTAGAATGCCAAGTGATAATAATAATAATAATCATAATACCGTGATCAATCATTCATCGAAGTCAATTACGGATTCGGTTGGATGAGTTTATTTCAGGTGGTCGTTCATGCAGACATGAGAATCGGAAGCATACAGTCAAATAAAAGGGGAGAAAGCAAGCGAGTTGTCGCAACTCTATGATGCATAACTAAAGCATTTATTATGAGACAAAGTAAGCCAGATATGTAATAAGTGAGGTAGGTGTGCACACACACACACCTACACACGAGTACAAGCAACCAAGATACGAGCAAATGAGTGTGAAAAGGTTAAAAGACAAGTGAATAATAACCTGAGAATAGTGGACTAATGATATTGTCCAAAGGCTGGGATTGAGATCTGTGGGCTCGACATTAAAGTACACACACACACTACAGGTGTCCATTCAAACGAATCGCCATAATTAACTACTACAGTTAGACTGGCATGATTTCTTCCTTGTCAGAAACAGTCTGCCAAAAAAATTTGAATATAGAACGTGAAAACTAAGAAAACAGATCTATGGGATGATTACAGAATTAGTAAAATTTGAAACGTAATAAAGCTCATTAGAATCATTATTTAGTTGAAATATCATACTCAAATAAATTTTAAATCTAACAGACACTTCAAAAAGATCAGCTGATTAGTAAGATTGGGTGTTTCTACCATTCTACACAATGGACTAGTTTAAATGCTGTTGGGGACAGACGTTAAATCCTCAGAAATCACTCGAAAAAGGTCCTAATTTTGTAATTCTATTCCGAAATTTTCGCGCAAAGAGACGATTATTTAACCCCTACGGCTTACATTTCCCACTCGGAAAATCCTTGACTGTCATTGGTTGACGGATTATCTCAGTATGCTCTTTCGCGGCTCTCACCAAGGGCGTCTCTATCATTGTATAAATAAGCTTGATTTGTGTGCTTAGCAACCTTGTATCTTTTGAATGCTTGTAGAGTATATTCTCTTCGCCTTATCACGACTTCTTGCTCTCATTAGCATCATAGCCTGAGACAATACGGTTAGAATAAGCTATCGTAGTATCACTGTATCATTGATCTTAATTCCCATTAACCAAGTTATGTGAACTCGTCATAGTTTTAATAAGTACATCAAAAAGTAAGGCAATTTTTCTTCAACGAAAATGGACACTTACACCATAAGTAATTTTTTCCATGTCAATTGATTTTTATCTAAACTATAAATATCAAATGCGAATTCTCGGCGTAACAGAAAATCATTTTCGGATGAGTGTCGTCTGTTCACAGTTAGATAACATGCAGTCAGTAGTATACTGGTGGTGTTTTTAGTACTTGTCAACAAACTTGCATCTACCAGCGATCCTGATTCAATATGAATTATAGGTAAGTATCTTCCTAAAAATAAAAAATATATATATCCATAAGTTAGTTGTTATATAAGTAATATGTTTTTGACATAATCATTATCCTGTAAATAAAATATTATATAAGTAGTGTGGTGCGAGCTACTTATAAGTAGTATATGACTCGAGTGTAAACGTAATGTCTGGCAGCATAATATGGGGGGAAGATCAAGAAAGGAAGAGTTAGAAGAACACAATGGAATTTGTATGAAACGCATGAATAGTGACAATCGATCAATATTTTGCCACAGGAACAGTCCAGTTCGAGATGATGATGAACTGATATTTTGCAAATGAACGATTTACGATATGGTTTTCCGATTTTACTGAGTAACTCTGTAATTTTTGTTAAATACTATTCGGTTGCCCCACCTGTGTTCTCATTCACTACAGTAGTATTTTAAATGAAACTATTTACGAAGATTCGCTCAGTTTGTATAGCTGTATTTCCAATGGATGAACAGAACCTCAGATGACCTTAAAAGCGCAGCCTTCATAGCCTAACACTTAACCTTTAGACTACTTATAGATATTCGGTCGTCCAACATGTTAAACTTGAGTAAATTTACTACATATATCAACGATCAGTCACTATTATACTTACACTACCAAACCTTCCAAACAATACTTACTTACTTACTTACGCCTGTTACCCACAATGGTCGCACACCAGTTTTCGACAACCAACTCTGTCCTGAGCTTCCCTCTCCAGTTCTGTCCAATGTTTGTTCATTCCTCTCATATCTTCCTTTGTTTCTCGGCGTAATTTGTATCTTGACCTTCCTCCTTTCCTTTTGCCTTGAGGGTTCCATGTGAGGGCTTGTCTTGTGACGCAATTAGGTGCTTTTCGTAGTGTGTGTCTTATCCACTTCCACCGCTTCTTACTGATTTCCTCCTCCCACAGTACGTTGTCGCTGATGGTGTCTGGCCAACGAATACGAAGTATTTCGCGTAGACAACTGTTAATGAACACTTGTATCTTCTGGATGATGGCTTTGGTAGTTCTCCAAGTTTCCGCTCCATACAGTAGAACTGTCTTCACATTTGTATTGAAAATGCTGATTTTGGTTTTGGTTGAAAGTTGTTTGGAGTTGCAGATATTTTTCAACTGTAGAAATGCAGCCCTTGCTTTTGCGATGGTGGAGAAAACTTGTAGCTCAGAAAAGTCATAGGTGACACAGGATCAAGAAACAGATCAAAAGGGGGGCTGCAATCAAAACAAAGTTGCGAACAACGACAGGTCAAAAGGTAACAGCAACCAATCAAGATCGAGGTTAGCAGAACAAGCTACAGGTCAAACGTGGAGAAATTCGAATGCTTCACTTCTATCTGAAGTTTGTGCTGATGACGATTTTCAGAGGAACAATGAAAGCTCCACAACCAAAACAACCAGCTCAGAGAACACCACCACAGCCCATGCTTTGCCAATCCGCGCCCTCACATCTGCATCGGATCCACCTTTCTCGCCGATGATGCTGCCCACATATGTAAAGGTGTTAACGTCCTCCAAGGAATCTCCATCTCATCGGTAACCTGAATCAAAATGGGTTCCTTTCATTACGTGTTCACTAATATTGATAGAGTTCTGGATGTAACATTATCAGAATTATTCAAATAAGTTATAAATTAAAAATTACTATCATTTTTATCATTAGGGGTTGCGGAAATTGATGAGTTGCTTTTGAAATCATGAATCGGTTAGCATTAGGACACCATTAGAAACCTGAATGCTTTGGACAGACGTTTCATCCTTGTATGAGACTCATCATGAGCGGTACTGTTACGCCTACACGTAAACACGTCAACTTGATATACTTGAACTATGACGAGTTTACCTAGTCGGAAACGAGAGCGAGGATCCGATGACACATGTTACTCAAATCCGATTATCCCAACCCCCATATTTGGTAAATAATAAGAAGACATGATATGAAGTAGAACGTATATTCTACAAGCATCCAGAAAGTACGAGGTCCGAATTCCGAAGAGAATCAGTATCCTGTATTAGGGATCCGGGACCGAGCCCTGGTCCTGGTCAAGGCCATAAAATGTTACAGATAATGCGTATTTATACATTTTGGTCGAATAGGAAACAGCATCGAATTCTGTGGCATTGACAGTTCAGACGACCAATTAGAAGTAACATTTGAAGTGACATTGATAGTCAGGACAACCAATAAGAAAGAACATTTGAAATGACATTGACAGTCCGGATGACCAATAAGAGACAACATTGAAGTATTTGACTTTGACAGTTAAAACGACCATAATTTTGACCAATAGAAATCGACCAATAGGATTTGACCAATAATTCTCTTAGGATATTGGATGAATATCCTAACAAGTGCACATCCACGAATCCCGCTACTCGTACGAATCGAGGCGGTTATTCAAGATCGTGAGTCGATTGAAGTTAGACATTAACACCGTCGAATGCCGGCTCAATGGTCCAAAGGTTAAGCGTTCGCATGCAAGATCAAAGGTCCTGGGCTCGATTCCTGTGATGAGCGGGAGTTATGGACGTGCACAGCTCATTAGTCTCAAGCCAGAACGAAACGGCCGTCCTGTGCTTCTAGGTTTTCTAGTAGTGGTTAAACTTTGATAGACACATGAATTCAAAACCATCCTTATTATTCTGGTAACGATGATATATGACCAGAACTGATGAGATATTTAAGGTCAGTAATATTGATTAGGTTGTGTTTCTCTCGATAGAACATTGAGCAGACGCAATTGATCTGAAAAATGTGAACAATTACGCCTGCTCATTGTTCTATCAAAATTTATAAAAGCGACTAATTGTTTCAATTTGTATTTACCTATGAAAACATAGTCATGAAATGTGAGGTACGAATAGAAGTTTGGAAGGTATATATCCTGGTCTACAAGAAAACAACTGAATGCAAAAATGCACAATCATCGTTGTACATTCTTCACACTTTCAACTCAAACAGTCTGACATAAATTCTTTCTTTTTTTTCAAGGAAAAAAAGTGTCACATTTGATTTCACTGACAAATTGATTGATTGAGTTTGCTTATACGTTTCAAAATTTTCACATTAGACAAAAATGTGGGAACACTAAGCATCTGGTGGTTATTATTGAATTAAGTGAGAAATTATTTTCACACGTTTATAAAATAAATTATTCAGATATTGTTGTTACTTTATTGAATTTCAGTAGTATTGTGGGGCGCGCTACTTATTAAAGTAGTATATGACGTGAGTATCAACGTAATGTCTGGAAGCAGAAGATGGTGGAAGATCAAGAAAGGAAGAGTGGGAACACAATGGAATTTGTATGAAACGCATGAATAGTGAAATAAATGTCAGACAATCGATTGATGATGGATTGAAGATTTGAAAATTAACCGTTTACGATATGGTTTTCCTATTTTACTGAGTAACTGTAATTTGCGATCGATTGACGAACAGAAGAAACCAATTTACTTTTCGAATCTTAAGTTCTAACAGACGTCTACAGTTTGCAGAACTCTTGATGGTCGTTGTACCAAATAAGATAACAATGTGGTCAACTCTAATAATATTATCGTAAGCGTGAAATTAGTCAGTAATTGTTTACAGAGAAGCATGGGGGAAACCTTCACAACATTCTTGTGGTGTCGAGTTCACAAGGATGAGTTTATCTTACAGTTGCTGAATTCATTCGCCTACCTTATCTAGGATGAAGAAAAAACCTGATTATACTACTTATGCATTCTTTTGTGGTGATCAACTCACGTTAACTAATAACCAAGTTTAAGCAATTTTAGCGATTATTCTCGATTCATCTCGAAAACCATCTAGCAAATGGAATCGGAAAGAGCATCCTGTTGACTTATTATTAATCAGCTGAAATAATAGGATTGCGGGGTTGTTGTGAAGATTGTTAAGTTTTATTTTGTAACCATGAATCGATCAATGTTAGACCACCATTAGAAACCTGGAAGAAGCATTGGGCGGCCGTTTCGTCCTGGTATGGGACTCCTTAGTGGCAGTGCACATCCACGACTCCTGCACCCCGCAGGATTCGAACCCAGAACCTTCGGTATTGTGCGCGAACGCCCTAACCGTTAGATCACTGAGCCGGTATCTAACCAACCTTGATAACTTTTGAGAATTTGATTTCTTAAACTTTTTGGTACAGCATAAGTCAAATCCCGGTTTTTTTTTAGATTTGCTGTATACTAGAGCAATTTTAATCATACACTTCTAGTTACAAGAATTGTTTCATTTATGTTCTTGTAAAATGTCGAGAAATAATGGATCTGCGATCGTCTTTTTTGCTGTAGTCTTCTTCACTACCACCTCACATTTGACAGTGAATCCCTGATGTTAGAAAATCTTATCACTGGATCGTTCATTTCTACATAACTCCTGAATAACATTTGGCAAACCTTTGTAATGTATTCAGTGGTTTTATAGTTAAATACTGTGGAAATTAGAAAACGGTTTATTGAGCCGAATGACTGCAAAGAATGATGACCACACATAAACAAAAGGTTATTTTAGAATGATAAAAATAAAGTGAATTGGTTGAGGGTGTAGGCTCCAAACTGAGGTTTGGACTGAGGAATCACCGTCAAGGTAGGTTAGATTGTGGTGACCAATATCAGTTGGTGTTCTTGGCGATACCGATGAAAAATCGAACACTAGCTACTAATTGGTGATTACGAAGTAGGATGGAGTTGGCTCACTAGCCTTCTCCCATTCGCACATTCGTTCGCTAGTATGTCTGCCCTGTCTGCTTGTGGTCCGCTGTCCCACTTTGTATTTGCCTTCTGATTTATAACCGTCAGGCGTTATTTGGTGCTGATTGCCTGGACGAGCGAATTATGAAGATTAAGAACACGTTGTAATTAACCACCACAAGATACGCATCTTGACCAGGTTAAAACCAAAACAAGTGATTTGAGTAAATGACAGTGGTTCTAATATTCATCATAAATATAAATATACATCATTATCTAAACAAATATTACCACTCAGTTATTCCATCAACAATTGTTCAATTAATCAAATCCAGAACAGCAACAAATAAATGATATTCTATCCCTTCTGGATAGATCAGATCCGTTCGACAGATAATATTTTGTTGCTTTATAACACAGAGTGTTTCCTATTCTGGAAGAGTGCTTCAATTCACAATCAAAATGCACAACTCCAGTCCATGCAAACAACACAATCAAAGCAGGCAGAAATCAATATGGCTGTCACCATGACTAAGACTATCAACTTAAACAACATAAATGCACTTCAGAAAGAAACATAGAAACTCAGTAAAGGCAGAAGACATAGAAACTATAATATAAAATACAAATATTATCATCTCAAAATGGAATAGAACAGATTAACAAAATGTACAACTGAAGGAATCAAGAAGGACAAATTACAAATGTATACATAGAGAGGGATTTTCACAAACAAAGCCTTCAAAAATTGATCTCACACCCAGATCAATCAACAAACACATCGACATTGACCCAATTTATCAACCAATCAGAAAAACCATAGACAAGTGTAGGATCAAGAAACAGATCAAAACAAAGGTGCAAGCAACGACAGGTTTAAGGTCAACAGCAACCAATCAAGATCGAGGTTAGCAGAACAAGCAGAACAGGTCAAACGTGGAGAAATTCGAATGCTTCACTTCTTCTATCTGAAGTTTGTACTGATGATGATGTTGTTCAGAAGAAGAAGAAGAACAATGAAAGCTCCGCAACCAAAACATCCAACTCAGAGAATGAAACTCCGTCGTAATCATTCACCTGAACTACAAATGAACTACAAAATGAAATCGAACAGATTCACAAAATGTACCACTGAAGGAATCAATGAGGACAAATTACAAATGTATACCATGGAGAGGAATGTTCACAAACAAAGCCTTCAAAGAACTGGTTCTTACAGAGGGCAGGCAGTAGACGAAATGCATGATTTCATTTATTACATTATGAAATCTAAAAGAAACACTTTTTTCATCTAGTATTATTATTATTATTCTGCAAGAATTAAAAATGTGTCAAAACGACGGATTATTGACTGTGAAACGCAATCATCTACTCCAACCAATTTTCGATTACAACAAATAGAAGATAGACCATGATATGGAATAACACTATCTTGAAGCTATTACTAGTTTACCTTAGTCGATAAACGTGAACGAGACAATGAACCAGCGTCCAGGTAGGCTACCTTGAATCCCCAAATAAAGTAAGAAGGCTTTGTAAGCGTAGAAAGTAAATTCTACAAACACTCAGCAATCACACAATACAATCAAGCATACAACTCTCGTTTATTTATACATCATAGAAACGTCCTAGTGGGACAGTTACGAAAATAGCACACTAAAATACACAGCAGTCAATCACAGCCATGGATTTTCCTGGTGGGAAATGAAATCTCAAGGTCAACTGATCAGCCCATGCTGGCAAACGTGAAATCCAAAAACTAAGGCATTTAACAAGCGAGTTCTCTGGGGATCTAACATCCCCAACACATTTATAACATATGTTTCTGTATCACGATGTGCCACAATGTTATACTACAAGTTGAATATAGTTTAGTATGAACATTGTTTTACAATTACTGACAATTACTGACAATTTAATACATTAACTGTCGTAATGTATAATAACATTAACACTATTGAATTGAATCCATCTGTTGACGAAACGGTCATGCAAAATATCTCAGTAAACAATTACAATTTTGTTTGTTCACTGAAAAAAACAAAACTGCAATGTTTTAAATATTTGTATGTGAATTAACAAGTTGATTGGTAACTCAGAAAATTAGAGATAAGGAAGAGATGACGTACATTTAAAAACTAGATGAACGTTGAGAAATTGTTGGGGATGTTAGATCACCAGAACTCGCTTGTTAAATGCCTTAGTTTTTGGATTTCACGTTTGCCAGCATGGGCTCATCAGTTGACCTGGAGATTTCAATTCCCACCAGCAAAATCCTTCCATAGCTGTGATTGACTGCTGTGTATTTTAGTGTGCTATTTTCGTAACTGTCCCACTAGGACGTTTCTATGATGTATAAATAAACGAGAGTTGTATGCTTGATTGTATTGTGTGATTGCTGAGTGTTTGTAGAATTTACTTTCTACGCTTACAAAGCCTTCTTACTTTATTTGGGGATTCAAGGTAGCCTACCTGGACGCTGGTTCATTGTCTCGTTCACGTTTATCGACTAAGGTAAACTCGTAATAGCCTCAAGCATACTAAGTGACGAACCCAATAGAAATAATGCTTATGTCATTCGAACTAAGCGGCTCACAGTTGATCTGATTAACTGTGAAAGTTAAATATTCCCTTTTTTAATCCGAACGTGAAATTGTAGGTAGGACAGCTATTCAGTTGTTTACAGCTTCAACTTCAAATGATTAAAAGCTTACCAATGTGACCAACGTTTTAAGTTTGATCCTTGATAGGGTCATCGTACGTGAGCATGACTGTAAAGGTTTGCACTGAAAGTATTGGGGATATCAGATCCCCAAAACTCGCTTGTTAAATGCCTTAGATTTTGGAATTCACGTTTGCCAGCATGGGCTGATCAGTTCACCTTGAGATTTCATTTCCCACCAGGAAAATCCATGGTTGTGTGATTGGCTGCTGTGTATTTTAGTGTACTATTTTCGTAACTGTCCCACTAGGACGTTTCTATGATGTATTAAATAATCGAGAGTTGTATGCTTGATTGTATTGTGTGATTGCTGGGTGTTTGTAGAATATACTTTCTACGCTTACAAAGCCTTTTTACTCTATTCAGGGATTCAAGGTAGCCTACCTGGACGCTCGTTCATTGTCTCGTTCGCGTTTATCGACTAAGGTAAACTCGTAATAGCCTCAAGTATACTAAGTGACGAACCCAATAGAAAGACAAAACAATTTTTTTCCTAATATCTTTCAGCTACAATCAGTTAATGATCTAAACTACAAAACACTTCATTTGATAATAGTTTGTGACGAACTTCATCAAAAGCTATTTTGCATGAGCAGTTGGTGAAATCGTTGCCCAATATAAAGATCACTATCATTCATCGTCTCATCCATCACTTAGTAGGCAAAACATTTTACGATCAATAAGATTGAATAGATAGATATATATTGACTAACCTGATTGAAGTAGTTGATTAATGATAACTAATCCAGATTGAAGACCAATCACTAAATAATAATTATTATCTTGAGAATTCATGTATTCCAGTTTCTTTGACAAATTGTGCTTGTCATCATTTATGAAATGATTAGAATGAGTAACTGAGATATACATTATTTTTGAACCGAAATATCGTATTTCTTCGATTAGACATTCTTCATCTTCTGTGGAAAAAAACACAAAATATTAAGAGAGTGTGGAGAATAAAATACCAAGTAGTGACATTATATGAAGTAGATATCTCTCAATCAATAAGAAATTCAAATTATTTTTAAATATATAACAAGAGTAGGCTGGAATAATCTTGTTGGCATTTGATATGCTCGAAACTATTATTACGAGTTCACTTTATTCGGTGAACGGAATGAAGATCAACGATGCAATGACACGCAAGGCTATGCTAATCCGATTGTCTCAGGTCCTATTAACAAGAGAGCAAGAATTCTTGATAAGCTGTAGAGAATGTATTTTCAGTCAGTTGCAACGTAGAACTTCGTACGTATGTACATAAGTTCATGTTGCCATACCACACACATTAGCACAGAGACGCAAATGTCAAATCAAATCCCATAGTGATAAAGATAGTAGAGGTATTAATGTTATTAAAGAAGACTAGAGTTCGAAGATATTATTCAAAAAATATAATTCAGTGAGATAAGATTACAAAGACAAAGGCAGAGGTATTGACGAATTCAGAAGATTAGGATTTGAGACAGCTCAAAGAATGGATGCACCTGCGCCATTGCAAACGATTTTGGGCCATATCGTTCAAGGTCTCTAACCATCGGTGACTATCGTCTCGCGGACCTCAACCATGTAGTCTACATCTACCAACATGACTCAGTCCACCTGTCAGTGACTTCATGGATTTCTGCCATGTTTTGGTCCGGTCGCCCCTAGATTTCTTCCAACCTACTCCTACACCACAAAACATAGCTCGTCAAGGCAGTCGGTGGTTAGGCATGCGTAACACATGTCCCAACCACCTCAACTGATGAAGTTTCAATACTTCCTCTATTGATCTGCCATCCTTACCTAGAACTCGTTTTCTAACGACAGCATTGCTTACTCAGTTGTCCCACGATATACGAGCAATGCTTTTCAGACATCTATGATCGAATACTAGTAACCTACGAACATCTTCTACTCTTAATGGCCATGTTTCGCATCCGTATAGGAGAACGGAGCGAGCTGCTGCGCAGTGCACTCGTCCCTTGGTCAACGAACGGATATCTCGCCTATGCCATAAGTGACGCAGGTTGGCCAAAGCCAATCGAGCCTTCTGTATCCGAGCTAAGATTTCGTCAGTCACCAGGCTATCTGCGCTGATGAGAATGTATTGTACAAGTACCCATGAAATACGAGGTTGACAAGCACACAAATTTGGCTTATTTATGCAACGATAGAGACGCCCTTGGTGAGAGCAACAAAATAGCGTACTAAAATAATCCAACAACCAATGACAGTCAAGGATTTTCCGAGTGGGAAATGTAAGCTGTAGGTTAACTAAGCGTCTCTTGGCTCCAAAACAGAGAAAATTCAGAATTTTGGAAATAAATTACAAAATTAGGACCTTTTTCGAGTGAGTTCTGGGGATCTAACGTCCGTCCCCAACAGCATTTCAACTAGTCCCTTGTCTAGAATAATAGAAACACCCAATCTAAAGAATCAGTTGATCCTTTTGAAGTGTCGGTTAGATTTAAAAATTATTTGAGTATAATATTTCAACTAAATAATGAATCTAATCAGCTGTATTATGTTATAAATTTCAATAAAGATTTATGTTAATTCTGTAATCATCCTAAAGATATTTTTCCTTGGTTTTTAAGGTCTGTATTCAAAGTTATTTGGCGGACTGTTTCTGACATTGAAGAAATCGTGCCAATTCAACTGACCAGTAGTGGTTACCATATACGTAAAAAGAAATTTGTTATTTTGTGTCTAACTTAAGAAGCTAATTACGGAGACTAGTTTAAATGGACACCTGTAGTGTGTGTACTTTTATGTCGAGCCCACAGATGTCGATCCCAGCCTTTCGACAAATCAATTAGTCCACTATCTACAAGCTATTATTCACTCGTCTTCTGACCTTGTCACTGTTACGCTCGTCTCTAGGTATGCGTAAACTAGTACGAGTTCACCTTAGTCGAATAACGAGAACAAAACAATGAACCAGTGTCCAGGTAGACTACTGTGATCCATTGACCAAATTGTATCAGGAAGAAGTCTTGATATAGTGTAGAAAGTGTATTCTACAAACACCCAGCCAGAACACACAATGAAACCAGAGGCTGAAATTGCGTTTATTTATACTCTATAGAGACGTCCTTGTGACAGTCACAAAAATAACACACTAAAATGATACGGTAACCAATCACAGCCAAGGATTTCGCTGGTGGGAAATGTGATCTCAAGGTGAACTGATCGGTCCATGAAATAAATCCAAAATAAAGATATTTATATCAAGCGAGTTCTGGGGGATCTAACATCCCCAACAGTCACACTCATTCGCTTATATCTTGGTTGCTTGAATTCGTGTGTGTGTATGCACACTTACCGCACTTATTACATGTCTGGCTTACTTTGACTTATTAATTCTTAGTCATATATCATAGAGTTGAGTTGGCTCGCTCGCCTTCTCCTCTTCGCTTTGATTGTATGCTTTCTATTATCATGTCTACATGAACGTCTGACTAAAACAAACTCATCCGACCATTGCACAAACGGGGTTCTCCCGAGTATAAAATATGAAAACCGATGGGGAGATTTATTTCATAGCATATTTAAACCGCGGGCCATCATAGTGGTTAGCCCTACATCGAATTTAACACGAGCCAACAAACAATGCTTTCGACCCTCCCCCCCTCTCCCTCAATTCACTTACTCTATACACTGTGAATCATCGATCAATATAACCTTTCAATCAATAGTCAATATTTATTACTGCCTTAAATATGACAGACAATATTTTTAATGACCTGTGAAAATGCGACAGATACATACACTATAATAATAGTATAGAACTCATAAAATAGTCATAAACATATCAATAAATTAGAAAAAATATCCATTGTACATCAACTGTATGAAAAAAAAATCTCAACTTACTACAGCTAAAAAAAATCGGGACTCTATGAAAGTTTATTGCAGTAGAATTGAAAGTTTTCAGTCAATGGTATTGAGGACGTAAGATCCTCAGAACTCGCTTGATAAATGCCTTATTTTGGATTTCAAGTTTGCGAGCATGGGCTGGATCAGTTGACCTTGAGATCACATTTCCCCACCAGGAAAATCCTTGGTTGTGATTGGTTGCTGTGTCGTTTTAGTGTGCTATTTTTGTGACTGTTTCAAGGACGTTTCTATGATGTGTAAATAAGGGCGATTTGTGTGCTTGATTGTATTGTGCTTGCTTCCGTGTTTGTAGAATATACTCTCTACGCTAAACCAAGAGTTTCGGTTAATCATCGGATCGGGGTAGCCTACCTAGACGCTTGTTCATCGCTTCATTCTCGTTTCTCGACTAAGGTGAACCCATTATAGTTTCAAGCATACCTAGCGACGATCATAACAAGTCGGTACCTTAATCTAAACATTTCGAAAATAAATTGAAGTTAATTTCGATTGACAGACAGACAGATACAACGCAGAACTTCGTACATAAGTACATCAGTTCAGGTCGCCATGCCTCATCAGCACACAGACGCAACTGTCAGTTCAAATCCAAGAGTGATAGCGATAGTAGAATTATTAGCAGTAATGGAGAAAAATAGGGAGCAAAGATATGATTCGAGAAGTATAATTCAGTGAGATAAATGCTGGTTGTCCGAGGGAAACACCTTACTGCTGTCACACCCCTCCACAGTTAGTCAGCAGTACGACTTGGCCCTCAGACGTTGAGTAGCTGCTTTTAGTCTCATTGTTCTCCAATCGATCTGCCTGGCATGGTAGAACCTTCAGGAACATATATTCCAGCCAATACAGCTCAGTTGGATCATCACAATAGGCAAGCTCGACCACCACGTCAAGGTAGCAGCTACGGTCGGGTAATTTTGGATTGACTATAGAAAGCTGACCTGGATTTTATTTAAACTATTTCGGTTTATGAACAAAAACTTCAAATCATATAAAACAGAAAATCAATAGACTGTTTAATTTCCCTTTTCTTCGAAAAACAAATCTTACTTTTTGAAAAATTATCCAATGCATAAAAGAAAAGATAACAAGATCCGGACCAATAAACACAAATTGATGCAGAAGTAGAAGAGGCTAGAGAAAAGAAAATTTTTAAAAATCGATTTTATAACTAGTGTTATGAATAAAAAAAATTTTGAATTTGATTTTGTTTGTGATGAATAAATAATCTGATATCATAAAAAATGAATGAATCTATTTATTAGTTTTATTTGAAGCCATGAATCGATCAATGTTGGACCACCATTAGAAACCGGGAAGCACTGAAGACGGCCGTTTCGTCCTGGTATGGGACTCCACGACTCATACACCCCGCAGGATTCAAACCCAGGACCTTCAGTATTGCAGGCGAACGCCTAGAGATTATTATTATTGGATTCATTGGCCAGACACTATCAGAAACAACCTACTGTTGGAGGGAACAAACAAGATTTCATTGGAGGAGGAAATCAGGAAGAAGCAGTGGAAGTGAATAGGACACACACTGCGAAAAGCACCTAACTGCATCATTGGACAAGCCTTCACATGGAACCCTGAAGGCAAAAGGAAAAGAGGAAGGCCAAGGAACGCATTACGCCGAGAAATAGAGAAAGATATGAGAGGAATGAACAAACATTGGACAGGACTGGAAAGGGAGGTCCAGGACAGAGAAAACTGGTTGGCGGCCTATGCTTTTTTGGGTTAAACAGGAGTAAGTAAGTAAATAATAGCGATTATTAACTGTTGAACAGAAATAAATATATATAGTTCTTTCTAGATATGTATGAAATAATTTAAAAATTAGTGTAACATCATTGTTAAGCTGTTGTCTATTCTATATGAACATTTTACAGACATTAACACTTGTGCATTGCAGCATAGATCCAAAATTACCATTCAATGTTCACACTTGTATTAATTAATCAGGCAGAATATGTAATAAGCCATAATAATATTTTTCAGTTAGAGAAGTGAAGATCAGTGTTTCCTAACATTGAAATCATCAACCAATCGTTGTTAGACCAATATTAGAAATTTGGAAGCGCTGGACGGTCATTTCATCCTGGTACGGGACTCATCAGTAGTAGTACGCATCCACGACTCCGGCACCTCGCAAGGTTCGAACCCAGGACCTTTGGTCTTGCGCGCGAAACAATTTCAAACTTAGTGTAATATCATTGCTAAGCCGTTATAATTCTATCAACTAGCCATTCTGTTATGAAAATTTTACCGACACGAACACTTGTGCATTGCAGCAAACATCCAGAATTACCATTGAATATTCAAACATGGATAAATTATTCAGGCCGAATATGTGATAAACTCTAAGAATATTTTTTTCAATTCGAGAAATGGAAATTAGTGTTTTATTAGCATTCAAATTATCAATCAATCATTGTTAGACCACGTTCAGAAACCTGGAAGCACTGAAAGACGACCGCTTCGTCCTGATATTGAACTTGTTGGCAGTGCACATCCACGACTCCTGCCACTCGCAGGAATCGATCTCGGGACCTTCGGTCTTGTGCGCGAATGCCTAAACTTTGGGCCACTGGGTCCTCATCCAACTGTGTTAATGTCCAACTCTGATTGATCTACAGATTTTGCACGTCCTCACCCATTTGCCTTTGGTAGTTACTGCCTAAACCCGACAGGGTTGAACTCCACTGGTCATGTCTTCTCAACTGGAACTCCAAGAATCGCCTCACGAAGCTAGTAACTAGTGAACACATTTTATGATTTTTTAACCCCAGTTATGGAGATTAGCGTTCACACGCAAGACCAAAGCTCCCGAGTTCGAATCCTGCGAGGCATAGCAGTCGTGAATGCTCACTGCTGATAAATCCGATACCGGGACGAAACAGTGGTAGATAACAGTGGAAGATAACTTGATAAATTTAGGTCTACTCACAATCACACTGTTCTCATTAGCTTTCCATTTGTATTAAACGTTACAATTTTTTCAATGATCAGGTATAATATTGGAGATAATAATGAGCTAGTGAACTTACACATACTGGTCAAAGATGGAGGTTCTGATTGTTTACTATTCGGAGACAGACTTATTGGTAAGAATTCAAAATATGGATAACTATTTTAAAAGAAAGAAAACCAAAATGGATATACTGAACTTTTTAAATTTTCAATTGGTTGAGATAAGAAGGTTTTTAGGAGGTGTAGGAAGGATTTGATTATTACCGTTTTAGTCTCATGTGCATTTGTGAGATTGGCTTGTATCGGCGACTGAACTAGTGATAAGGAGTGAAGGAGTTGATGGTGTCGACCGCTTCACTTATCTGGGGAGTCTCATCAGCCTGATGACTGACAAAATCTCAGTATGGATACAGAAGGCTCCATCGGCTTTTGTCAACCTTCGTCACTTATGGCGTATGCGAGATATCTGTTTGCTAACCAAAGGACGAGTCTACTGCTCAACATTTCGTCCCATCCTACTTTATAACTGTGAGACATGGCCGATTAGAGTTGAGGATATTCGTAGGTGATTAGTATTCGATCATCGATGTCTCCGAAGCATTGCTCGCATATCCTGAGACAACCGAGTGAACAATGCTGTCGTTAGAAAACAAGTACTAGGTAATGATGGCCGACCGATTGAGGGAGTAGTGGAACTTTATCAGCTAGAGCGGTTGGGACACGTGTTACAGATGCCCAACCACCGACTGCCTCGACAAGCTATGTTCTATGGTGTAGGAGTAGGTTGGAAGAAATCTAGGGACAGCCAAGCCAAAACATGGCACAAGTCCATGAAGTCACAGACAAATGGACTGAGTTATGTTGTTAGGTGTCGACTACTTGGTTGGGGCCCGCAGGATGACATTAATCGATGTTTTTAGAGACCTTGGACGACATGGCTCGAAACTGCTTGCAATGGTGCAGGTGAATTCATTCTTCATGTGTTCTCTCGAATCCTAACCGTTTGAATTCGTCATCACATTTCTCTTCCTCTTTTTAAATTTATTTCACCAGATCATGCTTGAATAATACCTTTGAACCCTAATCTCTAAGATTACTGCTAATACTTCTGCTACATCTACTATTATGAGGAGAATAGTTGTTGCATCTAAACGGGCAGAAACCTCGTGAATGAATATAAATGGCAAATAAAGATCATTGAAAAATACTAACAAAAGAATCGTTATTGATAAATGTGAATGTTTATGAATACATTGCCAACTTTTAGTCTAATTAATTAACAATCAGTTTCATGAAATGAAGACAGATGTACGGAGAGTGTTTGTTCTGTTTGCATTTTCAGAACTTGAATTTATCTCATTCATTAAATTCGTTTACGTGATTGTTACTCTATGATGATGTATACTGAAAACAATTTACAATTAAAGTCATTTCTTTTTAAATGAACATGCATCATTTTAGTACGTGTGTTTTCAAGCACTGGGCGGTCGTTTCGTCCTCGTGTGGGACTCATCAGCTGTGCGCACCCACGACTCCTGCACCTCGAGAGATTTGAAGGCCAACGCCTAACCTCTAGACCATCAAACCGGTATCTAACGGTGTTAATGTCTAGCTTCGATCAATTATTCACGGTCTTGCGCAACCGCATACACTGTCTCCTGTGATCACTACTTCATACCTGAACGAGGTTGGACTCCACCAGTCACGACTTCTCACTAGGATTCAGAAAAGATTCCTCACACAGCCAATCACTAGTGAACAACGTAATTCGCATTATAAGGTTGTGGAGAATGTTGAGTTACTTTTTGAAATCATGAATCGATCATTGTTAGACCACGATTAGAAATGGCATTCCAGTGCTTCCAGGTTTTGAATGGTATTCTTGATTTCGAAAAATTTGGTCTGGTGTGTTGTCACAGGTATGAGGGCAGTTGTCACTTCCCGGCTGCCTACACCGTGGAGGGTTGTTTCTTGAGGAACCTGAAAAGAAAGATAGATTAGAGTTGGTCTTAGAGACCTGGGTGCGTGACCAAAGAGTCCAAGGGACAACTGCTTCAGACCGGCCACGCACGGCCTTTTTATTAAAAGATTTTTGAGTATTAGCTACGCTCTTTAAGGCCCTAAGTGCGCACCCTTACCGATGGAGACGGAAATTCGTGAGATAGGGTGAGGTGTGACATTTTTAGGGTCAACATTTTCTAAACTCTTCCTTCCTTGTGAGAAGGGAGCATCACTGCACATGCTGGTTGTTCGAGACAAACACTTTACTGCTGTCACACCCCTCCACAGTCAGTCAACAGTACGACTTCTCCCTCAGACGTTGAGTAGCTGCTTTTAGTCTCATCGTTCTGCAATCGACCTGCTGCCTGGCATGGTAGAACCTTCAAGAACATAAGTTCCAGCCAATATAGCTCGGCTGGGTCATCACGATAGTCAAGCCCGACCACCACGTCAAGGTAGCAGCTACGGTCGGGAATGGTATTCTAACATTGATTTCAAAAAGTAGCTCAACATTCTCCACAACTCCATATTGTAAATTAATAATTAACTGTTTAACAGAACAAGACAAAAAATACTATCTATCATATTACCATTTCGGTTGTGTTTCAGTTAATTCTTTCAATAATAATTGTTGTCTATTGATTTCTTCATGTTGTTGTTGTTGAAGAAGAATTGTTTTCAATAATTTTTTGTCTTCTTGGTCAATGACATCCACAGCGAGATCTTTATTTGACAATGAATCGACAGTTTCAACAAGACCATTCATCTTTTCATCCTTTTTCTTCTCAGTATTTTCATTTGTTGTCCGTTCTCGATGTTGTTTTTTGACTACGGATGGATTATGTTTAGAAGAAGATTTTTTATTGATAGTGGTCGGTTGTTTTATTGAACTCGGTGAATTCGACTGACTTATTTCTAATGTTTCTATTTTCTCTGTACAATACAAATCAATGCAGAATAACGAAATGAAATCACTTTTTTTTCTTAGCAATAAAAATAACAAAGTGATGTGTTTTTACACATTTGAAATCATCAATCAATCATTGTTAGACCACCGTTAGAAACCTGGAAGCACTGGACGGTCGTTTCGTCCCGGTATGAGACTCATCAGTGATAGTGCGCATCCACGACTCCTGCTCCTCGCAGGATTCGAACTAGGGACCTTCGGCATTGTAGGCGAACGCGACGAGCAGGAGTCGTGGATGCATATTGCTGATGAGTCCCATACCAGGACGAAACGGCCGTCCTGTGCTTCCAGGTTTCTAACGGTGGTCTAACAATGATTGATCGATTGATGATTTCAAATGTGTAGAAACACAAACCTCCAAAACTCTGCCCCCCAAAAAAAGTGAAGTGTATTGGTTAACTTAGTCATAACAATAACGGAACTAATTTGCCGATATAAGGTGGTGTTCTAACTGCATGACAAAATTGAGTCGGTTTAACTGTCAAACGACAAAATTTTCTCATCAAAATAACAATTTTGAGCATTTAAAATGATGTTTATCAAATTAATAGTGAGCTTTTTATCAACACACAGACCGAATCAAAGTTAACTCTCTTCCTGAAATCATTTACAGTAGATCTAACAACCATCTATATTTCACAAAATGATCCGCAAACACTTGAGTCAGTCAGTCAGTCAGTTGCAACGTAGAACTTCGTACGTATGTACATAAGTTCATGTTGCCATACCACACACATTACCACACAGACGCCAATGTCAAATCAAATCCCATAGTGATAAAGATGGTAAGGGTATTAATGGTAATGAAGAAGACTAGGGTTTGAACATATTATTCAAGAAGTATAATTCAGTGAGATAAGGTTAGAAAGACAATGGCAGAGGTGCTGACGAATCCAGAAGATTAGGATTTCAGAGAGCTTAACGAATGGATGCACTTGTGACATTGCAAACGATTCTGAGCCATGTCGTTCAAGGTCTCTAACCATCGGTGACTTTCGTCTGACGGACTCCAACCAGGTAGCCTACATCTACCAACAAGCAAACACTTGCAGAAACAAACAAATGGATACTTCCATCTACTACTATCTTTTATCTACTTTGAGGAACTTACGTTTAGCCGATTCAGGACTCTCTGTAGATCCTTGAATTGACAGTGAATTATTTTCATCATTCTTTTTGTTAAGTCGAGCTGTCAAACAGGAAGGATAATTTCGATTTTTGATAAATGCCAACTGATTTGTTTCATTGATTACATCGGAATATAAACAAGTGCTGAGATTTGAATAACTAAAGAGATTGGCTTTATCATTAGCTTGTTTGAGTGCTGCTGTTATTGATTTGCATGCAGAATCTGTCGAAAATAAGTTAATAAAAAAGCACACTATAGTATGCAAAATAATTGCAAAAACTTTTATACTACTTTCTAAATGAAAGTAGTTGAGGTGTTACAAATAATACCTAATTTTGGAAGGACAAATCTATGGCCATCTGGCAAGTGTTTGTGATTTTACTCGATTTGAGTGATATCGAGTCTCAGAGTCAGTTATGTCATAATTTTCTGACTTCAATAGACGATCAACAGGCTGGATTCCGTAAGGATTGATCAAGTAATGATTAAATCCTCACACTACGGATCATTTTGGAACAATAAATTAAATTGGATTGACAACTCCACATCACCTTCATCGACTTAGAGAAAGTATTTGATACCGTGGACAGGATGACAATATGAAGGCTTCTTCAACACTTTAGTGCGCCTGAGAAGATAACCAACATCATATTGAACTCTTATGATGGATTAAACTGCACAATCGTGCATGGAGGACTGCTCACAGACTCGTTTGCAGTGAAGACTGGTGGTTAGGCAAGGTTGCTTATTTTCGTCTTTATTCTTTATTCTCCTCGTGGCCTCCTGGAATTTGAAGATGTCAACATCTGAGGAGGAAGCACAGAATATAGTGAACAAATCAAATGCAGCTATACAATCTAGAAGACTTCGCAGGTAAATTGGCTCTTCTAAGGCAGACGCAACAACGAATGCAGGAGATGATGAGCAGAGTGGCAGAATTATCTACAGCAGTACGGCCTCAACATACATAAAGGGAAAAGCGAGATTCTCCAATACAACATAGCATTCACCAACCATATCACACTTGATATGGAAGAGCTTTGAAAACAGTACAAACACTTAAATACCTGAACAATATAACTGATGAACTAGGTGGATCCAATGTAGATGTAAAAGCGTGGACTGGTAAAGCAAGGGCAGTATTCCTACAACTGAAGAACATCTGGAACTCAAAACAACTGTCAAACAACACCAAAGTCAAAATGTTTAGCAGGAACGGTAAAACCCTCCTGTTGTATTGAGCGGAAACCTGGAGAACTATGAAAGTCATCCTCCATAAGATACTTTTTTTACTTACTTACGCCTGTTACCCACAATGGAGCATAGGCCGCCCAAAACTTTTCTCCAACCAACGCTGTCCTGGGCTTCCCTCTCCAATTCTGTCCAATGTTTGTTCATTCCTCTCATATCTTTCTCGATTTCTCGGCGTAATGTATTCCTTGGCCTTCCACTTTTCCTTTTGACGTGAGGGTTCCATGTAAGGGCTTGTCTCGTGACGCAGTTAGGTGCTTTTCGTGGTGTGTGTCCTATCCACTTCCACCGATTCTTCCTGATTTACTCCTCCACTGCAATCTGGTTTGTTCTCTCTCACAGTGTGTTGTTGCTGATCGTGTCTGGCCAACGAATCCGAAGTATTTTGCGCAGACAGCTGTTAATAAATACTTGTATCTTCTGGATGATGGCTTTGGTAGTTCTCCAAGTTTCCTTTACATACAGTAGAACTGTCTTCACATTTGTATTGAAAATGCTGATTTCGGTTTTGGTTGAAATTTGTTTGGAGTTGCAGATATTTTTCAAGTGTAGAAATGCAGCCCTCGCTTTGCCAATCCGCGCCCTCACATCTGCATCCGATCCACCTTTCTCGTCGATGATGCTGCCCATATATGTAAAGGTGTTAACGTCCTCCCAGGCATCTCCATCAAGCGTGATTTGGTTGGTGCATGTTGTGCTGCATCAGAGTATGTTGGTTTTTCCTTTATGTATGTTGAGACCTACTGCTGCAGAGGCTGCTGCTGCACTGGTCGTCTTCTCTTACATTTGTTGTTGCGTGTGAGATAGAAGAGCCAGGTCATCTGCGAAGTCCAGATCGTCCAGCTGCGTCCTAACTGTCTAGTTGATACCGTGCCTCCTTCCAGATGTTGACGCCACTAAGATACAGATAATTACAAATCGTTGTCTACGAAAGATACTGACAATCCGTTCGCCAGGAACCATCAGCAAAACCTACTGCGGGATAGAACCACCCAATTTCTAGATGAAGAAGAAATTAGGAGGAGAAGCTAGAGTTGCAGAGAACACACATTGCTGGAATCACTAAACTGTATTACGAGACAAACCCTAACCTGGAATTCTCAAGAGAAGAGTAGGTAAGACCAAAGAACACACAACGCCGAACACTGGAAACAGACATGAAAAGAGTGAATACCAGTTGGATAGAACTCGAAAGGACAGAGTAGATTGGAGAACGCAGGTTTGCTCCGTTACGGGCAACAGGCTTAAGTAAGTAAGTTTCCAATTTCAAGTTTGAGATTATAGTGATGACAGTACTGTTCAGAATTACGGATAGACAACTCAAAGGTTAGGTTTGCACAAGCGCCAGCCATACAAAATTTCAAACGTCTTTATGTGTCAAAATTAGTTTATTCAGGTTCAGTGCACTGAACCTGCTCTCTAATATTGATTTATTATCCTCAGCGTAGTGAAGGAGAACACAGGTGAGGGCAACCGAATTGTATTTAACGAAAATTACAGAGTTAATTGGTAAAATAAGAAAACCATATCGTAAACAGTTAATTTGCAAATCTTCAATCCATCATCAATCCATTGTCTGACATTTCACTGTTCATGCGTTTCATACAAATCCCATTGTGTTCCCACTCTTCCTTTCTTGATCCTCCCTCATCTTTTGCTGCCAGACATTACGTTTTCACTCGCGTCATATACTACTTATAAGTAGCGTGCACCACATCAGTAGTATGACTCATAACGTTATTTTCCTTATTATCTTTGTGTTTTCTCCAGCCCCCCCTATTTGTACAATACCTCTGATTTTTCATATTTCAATGCTTAAGCAAGTAAATCTGTGATCAGACTGTTTGAAATATTTGGCACCCATGAGTATGATATAACCCTAACGAACTGCATCTTCAAGTTACATTATCTAAATCTATGCAAAAGATTAACTATTTGAAATCAATATTAAACTCAGCATCAAATAGAACACACATTGTAGCGTTGATCAAGTGGTCCGGTGGTAAGGCGTTCGCCTACAATACCGAAGGTCCTAGGTTCGAATCCTGCGAGATGCAAGAGTCGTGGATGCGCACTACCACTGATGAGCAGTTTCATACCAGTACGAAACGGCCGTCTCTCAGTGCTTCCAGGTTTATAATGGTGGTCTAACATTGATCGATTCATGGTTTCAAAAATGTATGAAAATAATCATAATAATAGTAATAATAAAACGCAGTGGTATATCAAACAAAAACCTCACTTGGTGACATTATCGGATATTTAATTCTTCCTAATAGTACAGGCGAACTAAGCTGGAATTGGTTTTCAAAAAATGATTTTCTTTCGATCAGATTCGGGATTAAATCCTAGAATAAAAATAAATCACTATTATTGGGTTCGTCACTAAGTATGCTTGAGGATATTACGAGTTCACCTTAGTCGATAAACGCGAACGAGACAATGAACCAGCGTCCAGGTAGGCTAGCTGGAATCCGAAGCTGAAGTAAGAAGGCTTTGTAAGCGTAGAAAGTATATTCTACGAAACACCCAGCAATCACACAATACAATCAAGCATATAACTCTCGTTTATTTATACATCATAGAAACGTCCTAGTGGGACAGTTACGAAAATAGCATACTAAAATACACAGCAGCCAATCACACAGCCATGGATTTTCATGGTGGAAAATGAAATGTCAAGGTCAACTGATCAGCCCATGCTGGCAAACGTGAAGACCGAAACAAGGCATTTATCAAGCGAATTTTTGGGATGCAACATCCCTAACAACTATAAATTATCATCTTAACTAATAATAATAATAATAATAATAATAATAATAATAATAATAATAATAATAATAATAATAATAATAGACTAATAATCGCTATTGCTATTCTGATTAACTTTTAGAGATAAACTCTAATAAGTATGATGAATGTTGACAGTTATTCTCTCTATCTCCCTCTCTCCCTGTCTGTACAACTATAAACTATGCATTATTCCATCATGAAATAAATAATCAGTCAGTCAGTCAGTTGCAAAGTAAGAACTTTGTACGTATGTACATAAGTTCATGTTGTCATACCGCAACATTAGCACAGAAACGCAAAGTCAAATCAAATCCCATAGTGATAAAAATAGTTGAGGTACTAATCGTAATGAAGAAGATTAGGGTTTGAAGATATTATTCAAGAAGTATAATTAAGTGAGATAAGGTAAGAAGACAAAGGTAGAGGTGCTGAAGAATCCAGAAGATTAGGATTTGAGAGAGTTCACCCAACGAATGGATGCAGCGGCGCCATTGCGAACGATTTTGAGCCATGTCATTCAAGGTCTCTAACCATCGATTATTATCATCTCGCGGACCCCAACCAGGTAGTCTATAATTACCGACATGGCGAAGTCCACTTGTCAGTGACTTCATGCATTTCTGCCATGTTTTGGTCTGGCCGCCCCTCCCTTTCTTCCAACTTACTCCTACACCACAAAACATAGCTAGTCGAGGCAGTCGGTGGTTAGCCATACGTAATACATGTCCCGACCACCTCAACTGATGAAGTTTCACCACTTCACCTATTGATCTGCCATTCTTACCTAGCACCCGTTTCCTAACGACAGCATTGCTTACTCGGTTGTCCCACGGTATACGAGGAAATAAATAGTCCTAACTTTCAATCAATAAACATATACTCACTTGAGTCTCTGCACGAAGTGTAGACAGTTTCGCATTTTGAATCTCTTGAGTAATCGGTAAAATTTCTTTCAGCCATTGGTCTACTGGTAGACGATAAATTTCTAACCAAATTTTCGAATTAATTGAATCTGTCAAAATTCAATGGTAAATGCATTAGATCTGATATGCTAGTCAAGTGATTTGCTTGAATGCTTTTACAAGTTCACCTTAGTCGGTAAAGGAGATCGAAGATAAATGATGTAGTGACACGTTAAGCTATTCTGATCCGAACGTCCTAAGTCCCCACTAAGTAGAGGAAGAAGTCTTGATATGCAGGGAGTTGAAAGTGTGTTCTACAAGCACCCAGAAAATACAAGGTTTTCAAGCATATAAATCGAGTTTATTTATACAAGATAGAAACGTCCTTGGGACAGCCACAAAAGTCACTTACTAAAATAATACATCAACCAATAATAGTTAAGGATTTTCCGAGTAGGAAATGTAATCTCAAGGTCAATTGATCAGCCCTTGCGCGAAAACTTAAAAATTCCAAAATTAGGATCTTTATCAAGTGCGTTCTATCTAGGGATCTAACGTACCCAACTAAATCTGAGTTATATTTACTCCTATTACCCTTAACAGAGCATAGACCACAAACCTGCATTCTCCAACTAACTCACTGTGTTCTAAGACTTTACTTTCCAGTTTTGTCCAATAAATACACCTTCCACTCACTATCAACAAAACTTCGAAATAATACTTCGGAGTTATTATGAACAGATCGATAAATTGCATAGTGCGAAAATTAAAATTGACATTAAAACTACATTAGGCTGATGAGTCTTAAATGGTTGAAAATGAGCCTATAGCCTATCTATACTCCAAGCCACATTCTAAAATTACCAAATCTCTTACTAATTTGTTTAAATTTAGTTATTATCTGAGTTATAATTGAACCTACAGAATTTTAAACGTTTAAATGATCAGTCAAATATAAAATTGCCGAAAAAAAATTAACCGACACGCCCAATCATTAATGTACATTTTGTCCTGATAGACTGACCCCTGAGATATTTAAGGATGGTGATGGTCCAGTTTTAGCAGCTAGATTGACTGACACCTTAGGCAGAATCTGGAAACTGGACACAATACCATCCTATTGGTCTCAATCACTGATTGTCCCAATCTATAAGAAAGGACAAAAGTGTTCTTGTGACAGTCACAGGGGAATCAGTCTAACTAATATAGTTTCTAAATTGTTAGCCTCCATTATACTTAGACGCCTTACTAGTGCTCGTGAAGAGCAGACGCGAGAAAACCAGTCTGCTTTCAGACCTGGACGTGGTTGTATAGACCAAATCTTCACACTAGGACAGGTCCTCGAACACATACATTTAAATGTCAGACAATAGTCGTGTTCCTGGACCTAAAAGCGGCATTTGACTCAGTGGATCGTGAGGTTCAGTGGCAGTGTCTGTCATTGAAAGGTGTACCAAAGAAGTACATTAACCTTATACAATCTCTCTACTCGAACACCACTGGTCGAGTGAGAGATTGTGGCGAACTGTCACCGGAATTCTCTACATCAAGTGGTGTTCGTCAGGGATGTCCTCTCTCTCCATTCTTGTTTAATTTTATCGTAGACATGCTCCTAGACATAACATTATCCTCGTCTGAATTTTCAGGAGTAGACCTATTACCAGGTGGCTCGCTTATTGACTTAGAATATGCCGATGACATTGTCCTACACAGTGAAGACGCTGACAAAATGCAGAGTCTTCTCACTACCCTAAGCAACAATGCAAGTATATTCGGGATGCGGTTTTCCACCTCGAAATGCAAAATGTTGCTTCAAGATTGGGTTTCATCGGCACCTGAACTAGTGATAGGGAGTGAAGCCGTTGAACGTGTTGACCGCTTCACTTATCTGGGCAGTCTGATCAGTGCTGATAGCCTGGTGACTGACGAAATCTCAGCTCGGATACAGAAGACTCGATTGGCTTTTGCCAACCTGCGTCACCTATGGCTCAGGCGAGATATCCGTTTACTAACCAAAGGACGAGTGTACTGTGCAGCAGTTCGCTTCGTTCTACTGTACGGATGCGAAACTTGGCCGTTAAGAGTAGAAGACTTCCGTAGGTTACTAGTCTTCGATCATTGATGTCTCCGAAGCATTGCTCGTGTATCATGGGACAACCGAGTAAGCAACGCTATCGTTGGGAAACGAGTTCTAGTTAGGGATGGCAAATCAATAGATGAACTAGTGAAACTTCATCAGTTGAGGTGGTCGGGACATGTGTTACGTATGGCTAACCACCGACTGCTTCGAAGAGCTATGTTTTGTGGTATAGGATTAGGTTGGAAGAAAACTAGGGGCGGCCAAACCAAAACATGGCAGCAATACATGAAGTCACTGAAAAGTGGACTGAGTCATGTTAGTAGATGTAGACTACCTGGTTGGAGTCCGCGAGACGAAAGTCACCGGTGGTTAGAGACCTTGAATGACATGGCTCAGAATCGTTTGCAATGACGCAGGTGGATCGACTATTTGTGTTCTCTCAAATTCTAACCTTCTGCATTCCTCATAATCTCTATCTTTCTCCTTCTAAATTTATCTTACTGAATTATATTTCTCCAATCATATCTTCGCTCCCTAATCTTCTCCATTACTGCTAATACTTCTATTATTGCTATCACTGTTGGATTTGAACTGACAGTTGAGTCTCTGTGCTGATAGGGGGCATGGCAACCTGAACTGTGATGTACTTACGTACGAAGTTCTGTGTTGTATCTGTCTGTCTGTCTATTAATGTACATTCAATTCCAGAATTTAAGTCAGAAAAATTAATTTTCTAATTGAATCAAACTTAAATCGAATGTCATAAATCGATTTACAGCTTTATATATATATATATATATATATATATATATATATATATATATATATATATACATAAATTTATATTACCTTCATTTAAAGAGATATAAAATTTTCCACAGATAGAAATTTTCCCATTGAGTATATGATATAATAAATTATCTGATGATGATAGATTAGCCGGCTTTATTGGAATGAATAAACCTTCGACAAACATCATCATTTTTATTTGACCTACAATAAGATATTTTTGTTGAAATAAAAGTTGACAATAGTTATTCATGCAATTAAGTTGAGGTGATTTGTGATAGTTAAACATGAGTTGTTGTGACTCATGAAATTTAAAATCTGTTTAAAATCATCAATGGCATTGAACAATAGTCCTTGTGTGGTGTGAGCTACTTATAAGTAGTATATGACGTGAGTGTCAACGTAATGTCTGGCAGCAGAAGATGGGAGGAAGATCAAGAAAGGAAGAGTTAGAAGAACACAATGGCATTTGTATGAAACGCATGAATAGTAGTGACAATGGATTGATGTTTGGCAACAGGAACAGTCCAGTTCGATATGATGATGAACTGATATTTTGCAAATGAACGATTTACGATATGGTTTTCCGAATTTCACTGAGTAACTCTGTAATTTTCGTTAAATACAATTCGGTTGCCCCACCTGTGTTCTCGTTCACTACACTTGTAATCGGATTTGTGTATCACTGGATATCAATTCAGTGGCTTTAATGATTTATCATCATTCTTTGCAAAGCTGACAAGTTTTATATACTTTCAATCTCTAAAAGGGATATTCTGTAGAGGATTTACATGTTAAGAGGAAACAAATTTTCAATTCTCTATATGTTATGTTCGTCACTTAGTCGATAAACGTGAACGAGACAATGAACCAGAGTCCAGGTAGGCTACCTTAAATCCTAAGATGAAGTAAAAAGACTTTAGAGTGTAGAAAGTATATTCTACAAACACCCAGCAATCACAATACAATCAAGCACACAACTCTCGTTTATTTATCATCCCACTCCAGCTCTGCCCAAAAGTTAAAAGTGAATCCCCCTGCTGTTTACTGGCACTGCGGCTCATGGCACTATGTACGGAACTGGCCATTTAGGCAACATCGATGCAGGAAGTGTAAGGTCATCGGTCATAAAGATGGTTTTCGCCTAAAGAGAAAGCCGAACCGATCCAGAAGTGCTAAGAAGCCGGTTCCTAGATCCGGTACCAATGCATTGAGACTAATATCTTCCTGCCAAAGCTTATCGCCCGGTGAGAGGAAATTTATTAGTCTTAACGTTAACGGCAATTATGTAGAATGAAACACACAACTCTCGTTTATTTATACATCATAGAAACGTCCTAGTGGGACACTTACGGAAATAGCACACTAAAATACACAGTAGCCAATCACAGCCATGGATTTTGCTGTTGGGAAATGAAATCTCAAGGTCAACTGATCGGCCCATGCTGGCAAACGTAGAATCCAAAATAAGGCATTTAACAAGCGAGTTTTGGGGATCTAACATCCCCAACACTATACTACTTATTTGCACCTTAACTATTATTACCAGTTTTGATCAAATTACAACGGAAAAAATATTTAAAATCAATAATTTCAAGCGCACTAATCAAAATTTAAAGTTTTGTATTAAACTTAAGTTGTCAGATAATGTAATCTTGTACAGTGAATCACAGTATATGCATATATATATATATATATATATATATATATATATATATATATATATATATATATATATATATATATATAAAACATTAATTTGACTGATTTCTAATTTTTTCATCCTCTTTTTACTGAGTTATTTTCGATGCAAAACAAGGAAAGTGCATTTCTTTGCCCAAAATCATTTTCAGTAAATTTTGAAGGTTCTAAATTTACATGGATATGAAGTTACCCTATATTAAGAACGCAAGTCAACACGTCAATTTGATGTAATACTTGAACTATTACGAGTTCCCTTAGTCTGTGAACGAGAGCGAGGATCGATGATGATACGGCGACACGACAGGCAACTCTAATCCGTGTGTCCCAAAAACCAATTGAGTAGAAGAAGAAGAAGACTTGATATGTAGTAGAACATGTATTCTACAAGCATCCAGAAAGTACGCGGCCCGAATCCAGAAGAGGATAAGGATCCCGTACTAAGGATCCGGGTCGATAAACGTTACAGTTAAGTCAAATGGGAAACAACATTTAAAGTATGTGACGTTGAATTCATGCAGGAACAATAGTGATTGCTTGTGACCCCAATCCAATCTATCTGGGCATCTTAGCTGTTATCCAGCTCATGAATTAACTATAGACATGAAATACCGATGGTGCTGTTATAAAATCTTATCACATAGGAGGCCAAAAGTATTATTACCTGGCTATTCAAATAATAGAAGATGGAAAAATGTTCGAACAAGTCAAAGAACTTCAAGCTTTGAGGAATCAAAGAATTTTAAAAATTTGAAGGCAGTAAATTACTTCCAAGATAATGTATGTATCTTAACAACTTCTAGACAAGGAAATATCTAGTCACTTTGTTAGGATATTCATCCAATATCCTAAGAAAATTATTGCTCAAATCCTATTGGTCAATTTCTATTGGTCAAAATTATGGTCGTTTTAACTGTCAAAGTCAAATACTTCAATGTTGTCTCTTATTGGTCATCAGGACTGTCAATGTCATTTCAAATGTTCTTTCTTATTGGTTGTCCTAACTATCAATGTCACTTCAAATGTTACTTCCTATTGGTCGTCCTAAACTGTCAATGCCACAGAATTCGATGCTGTTTCCTATTCGACCGAAATGTATAAAACGCATTATCTGTAACGTTTTAGGCCCAGGACCGGGTCCTGGATCCTGATTCTCTTCTGGGTTCGGACGTCGTACTTTCTGAATGCTTGTAGAATACAGGTTCCACTTCACATTCAAGTCTTCTTATTTTTTACTCAATATGAGGGTTGGGATAATCGGATTTGAGTAGCATGTCATGTCGCCGGATCCTCGATCCTCGCTCTAGCGTTTCCGACTAGGTAAACTCGTTAGATAGTTCAAGTATATCCAGTTGACGTGTTTAGGTGCAGGCGTAACACACTTGTGATTAAAGAGAGATTCAGTAATACAAGGTTCTCTAATTAATCAAATCAACAAGTTAAAAACTCAACTACATTAAAATTTCAACAGCCTACCGTTGTTTAATTGTGAACGTTTACCTTCATTATTTGAATATAATATTTATATTACCTGAGTCATCAATAATTAACAGCAAAATAACATTTTGATCATATTGAATTGTTTTCAATGTACGAATTCTACTGTTGCAACTGTTAGTAGTCTCATTCATAGAATGCCATTCAGAAATCAAACGTAGATTGTTCAAATCATCATATACACTAATTTGACTTTCAAATATTTTGAATAAATATTGTCCAACAATTGTAAACATGTGAATATTTTCAATATCCTATGTGATTAGTAAATTTGTGATTATTTATTTCCAACTTACCATATTTACATCCAAATTTTGTAGATATGACTGTTGAAAATTCAATTTTTCACCTTCATACTTTTGTTTTGTTTCAATGTGATTCCATGCTTCATCAATGACACTCCATAATAATGTATTTAACATTCGAAATGGCATCGGCAAATCGTCGAATGTTAAATCAGGATCAGTGTTGAATGTTTCTTGAAATGATGACGTGTCCATAAGGGTTACATGCAATGATTTATTGATCAAACTTCAATCTTTATTCTCTACTCTAGTTGAACAGAAGAAAGTCAAATAAATTTATATACATTAATCAAATAAAGTTTTAATTAATAAATCAAGTACACGTACATCGTTATTGTCACCAATGTGTATACATCATTTCAACTAAAAGCAAAATATTTATGTAGTCGTATTGCCAACGAGTTATTATAATTTCCCTGAACATTTCCCTTGCCTGTATTTTGATGGGTACTTAGATCGATTCATATAAATCAAGATAATTAAGTTTTGTCTGCCTTAGGTATTTAGTAGCCAGACAGGCACACAGATACAACGCAGAATTTCGTATGTAAGTACATCAGCTCAGGTTGCCATGCCCCACCAGTACACAGACGCAACTGTCAGTTCAAATCCAACAGTGATAGCTATAGTAGAAGTATTAGCAGTAATGGAGAAGATTAGGGAGCGAAGATATGATTCGACAAGTATAATTCAGTAAGATAAATTTAGAAAGGGAAAGGTAGAGATTATGAGGATTTCAGAAGGTTAGAATTTCATAGAACACAAAGAGTGGACGCACCTGCGCCATTGCAAACGATTCTGAGCCATGTCATTCAAGGTCTCTAGCCATTGGTTACTATCGTCTAGCGGACCCCAACCAGGTAGTCTACATCTACCAACATGACTCAGTCCACTTGTCAGTGACTTCATGCATTTCTGCCATGTTTTGGTTTGGCCGCACCTAGCTTTCTTCCAATCTACTCCTACACCACAAAACATAGCTCGTCGAGGCAGTCGGTGGTTAGCCATACGTAACACATGTACCGACCACCTCAACTGATGAAGTTTCACCACTTCATCGATTGATCTGCCATCGTTGCCTAAAGACAGCATTGCTTACTCGGTTGTCCCACGATATACGAGCAATGCTTCTTAAACATCTATGATCGAATACTAGTAACCTACGAACATCTTCTACTCTTAACGGCCATGTTTCACAGCCACATAAGAACATTGAACCAGTTATCACAGGATACTCCTCATACAGGAATTGAAACTGATCAACCGCATCCCGAACTTGCTTGCATTGATCAGACTCCCTAGATAAGTGAAGCGGTCTACACGTTCGACTACTTCACTCCCTATCACTAGTTCAGGTGCCGATGAAACCCAATCTTGAAGCAACATTTTGCATTTCGAGGTGGAAAACCGCATCCCGAATATACTTGCATTGTTGCTTAGGGTAGTGAGAAGACTCTGCATTTTGTCAGCGTCTTCACCAAGTAGGACAATGTCATCGGCATATTCTAAGTCAATAAGCGAGCCAGCAGGTTAAAGGTCTACTCCTGAAAATTCAGACGAGGATAATGTTAAATCTAGCAGCATGTCTATGATAAAATTAAAAAAGAATGGAGAGAGTGGACATCCTTGACGGACATCACGTGAAGTAAAGAATTCCGGTGACAGTTCGCCATATGCTCTCACTCGACCAGTGGTGTTCAAGTAGCGAGCTTGTATGAGGTTAGTATACTTCTTTGGTACACCTTTCAATAACAGACGCTGGCACAGAACCTCACGATCAACAGAGTTAAATGCCGCTTTCAGGTCCATGAAGACAACTGTTGCCGGACGCCTAAATGTGTGTCTGTGTTCAAGGACCTGTCTCAGTGTGAAGATGTGGTCTATACATCCCCGTCCAGGCCTGAAACCAACCTGGTTTTCTCGAGTCTGCTCTTCACGAGCACTAGTAAGGCGTCCAAGTATAGTGATGGTCACAAGAAAACTTTTGTCCTTTCCTATAAATTGGGACAATCAAGGATTGAGACCAGTCGGATGGTATTGTAGTGAACGAGAACACAGGTGGGCCAACCGAATTATATTTAACGAAAATTACAGAGTTACTCAGTAAAATCGGAAAACCATATCGTAAATCGTTCATTTGCAAAATATCAGTCAATCATCATATCGAACTGGACTGTTCCTGTTGCCAAACATCAATCCATTGTCACTATTGACGCGTTTCATACAAGTTCAATTGTGTTCCCACTCTTCCTTTATTGATCTTCCCCCCCATCTTCTGCTGCCAGACATTACGTTGACACTCACGTCATATACTACTTATAAGTATCTCGCACCACAGGATTACGTCCAGTTCCCAGATTCTACCTAAAATTTCAATCAATCTAGTTGGTAAAGCTGGACCAGCATCCTCAAAAATCTCAGGGGTAATCCTATCAGGACCAACTGCTCGTCCGTGCTTTAGATTTCCTATAGCCTTTTCAACTTCATAAAGGTTAGCAGGGCTTACATCGATTCGCCATTCAGGATGACTGGAGATTGTGGGTAACTGAAGAGTGGCTCGAGGCCAGTTGAACTGATCCCTAAAGTGTTCTGCCTTTCGATCCAGTCTCCTGGATTGAGAACAAATAATAGTCCTATCCTTTTCCGAGATAGTCTCACTTACAGTAGGATTCCTAATACCAGTTTCCTTGGTAAGGCGGAAAAATTGTCTACTGTTGCCGTTCGCCGCTGCCTTTTCTATCCCTTTTGCTCTCGCCACCCACCACTGTTCACGGTCGTTACGTAGGGTTTTTAAAAGCCTGCGCTTAAGCTGACTTCGTTCTTTATCATGTTCAGAGTCAGGTGGAATGCGTTTTCGAGCATACATCATTTCGGTGGATGCTACAGAGATCCACAGCTTCATTCTAGGCTTATGGTCAACGTAACCGGCAGATATCACTGCTGTTTCCACAGCCTTTTTGATATCATTCCAACCTGCTTCGGGATGGGAATCACTTAAATGGTCGCCTAACTGTCTTTCTAGTTGTTCCTGAAATATATTTTTCGCCTTATTATCATTAAGTAAAACCCTAAGAGTCTTTCTTACTGTTTCTTTCCTACGTCCAGTAAGCCTTAAACAAATACGAGCTCACACTTGGGCATGATCTGAATCTAAACATGTGCCCCGGAACGAGTGACAGACCTCTTTCGAACCTCTCCATCGGTGGCTGATAGCGATGTGATCTAGTTGCGTCCAACGTTGAGACGACTTTGGGGGTCGCCAGGTCAACAGATGTTTTTCCTTATGTCTAAAGTTAGTATTTGCTAGAAATAGGCGGTTATCTGAGCATAGTTGCAACAGACGGTCACTATTGTCTGTTCTCCGAGCCGCGACATCATAACATCCACCTAGGTGTCTTTCATTTTCACTTAGTCTACCTACTTGAGCATTTAAGTCACCAGCCATTATTACTACATCAGAGCGCCTAGTTTTTTGGAGGAGGTCTGAAAGCTTTCTGTAAAACTCATCTTTAACCTCATCTGCACTGCAGTCAGTGGGGGCATAGGCAGTCCCTATCTTTCCGAGTCCTTACTGCCCCATTTAGTCGGACAGCGCACAAGCGACTATCTACTAAGATCCAGTCTAGGAGCGCTAGTTCTGCTCTACGACATAATGCTATACCTACACCAGCGAGACCCCTGGAAGCAGCATCAGGGCTACCGGATACACAAAGAGTAAATCGAGCTGCTTCTTTATTTTGGCGAAATCAGATTAATAATTTTACTAGGATCTTGTATGCGCGTTTCCGAGACACAGCATACATCGATGGCACGAGATTCTAATGTCCTAGCTAATGATGCCTGTTGCCCTATTTGACACAATGCCCGTACATTAAAAGCTCCAACATGTAGTCCAGAGCGGGGTTTCAGGAGACCAGGAACAATTTTTCGTGAACTCGCATCGTTTGCATTAGTGGTGCAGTGAGATAAGGGAACGTGAGTAGAGTAAGTTGTGGAGAGAAGAGAGGTATGTGTGGGTGTAGGAAGGATTTGATTTTGACCAATTCGGTCTCGTGTGCTGTTACGGGTATGAGGGCGGTTGTCACTTCCCAGCTGCCCACACTGTGGAAGGTTGTTTCTTGAGAAACCTGAAAAGGAAGGTAGATAAGCGTTGGTTTAGAGACCTGGTTGCGTCACCGCAGAGCCCAAGGGACAACTGCTTGGGGCCGGTCACGCACGGCCTTTTTATGAAAGGATTTTTGAGGATTAGCTCCGCTATTACAAGCTCTTGTAGGCGCCCTTACCGACGGAGACGGAAATCTGTGAGGTAGGGTGAGGTGTGACATTTTTAGGGTCTACATATTTTAACCCTTCCTCCCTTTTGAGAAGGCAGCATCGCCGCAGATGCTGGTTGTCCGAGGGAAACACCTTACTGCTGTCACACCCCTCTGCAGTCAGTCAGCAGTACGACTTCGCCCTCAGTCGAGTTTTCTCTCGTGATTTCGGACAACTCACCACACAGTTACTGATGCTTTTGATGCCTATGTGTCTAAGTCATTAAAACCTGAGGATGGTGAAACTTTTGTTTTAAGTAACCAATGCACTCACAGAACAATTTCATACTGAGTACTTCAGACTCGATTTCTTGTTAGCGGTTTGTCAAAGCTCTGTACTTACTGCGTTTAGTAGCGCTTCGTTAAATTATTTAAAATTTTTATCTAGTACAATGGTACAAATGAATTTAAATAACCTTAGGAACTCGCCAATCAGCGCATCATCACGAAAGGCGGAAGATTGTTTAGAATGCCCTTAAGTATGGAGATTCTCACGTAACTTTTGAGAAGGTAGCATTTCAGCATACTTCATGACTGCCATCGACAGAAAGATCGATATATTTTCAACGAATTTCTCATATCGGGATATCTGTCTTATGTGTCTTATAAACTTGGAGAATTTCTAATAATTTCCAAACATATATACGTATTCTCCTTTGAAACTAGCTCTTTAAAATAAAGTAGGCAAATCAGGTAAAAGTTAGTGTGATCTAACATTATTCTTGAGATAAAAATCATACCTCATGGATAGAAACTTTTTATGGACCTCTCATAAATTAAATGTTTGTTGAACATAATCTTTTCTGTCTGTCACATGGTTGATCTTCTACTATTAACCAGGTTTAAGTTTCTTTGTAAACTGAATGGAATTCATTCAAAAAATAGTTCCTATATAAACCATTAATTAAATCATGTCGACTGTATAAAAAGCTAGCAATCCTAGGTAATTAGTTTCCTAGTCATTTGTGGAAGACTTACAGCAAGTATAGGAGATTGTATGCTAATCACAGTTAATATTCGCGAAAAAAACACGAATTTGTGGAGAATTAAATCATTCGGACATATAAGTAAACTACTTGGTGTATATGTTCTACAAATTGCATAAATTTTAGGCTCCATCAACAGTCACGAAACTTTAGTTTCACAAATAGTGGTCAAAGCAGTCAAAGTAGTGGTTTTCTAAGGCATTTAAAGTTTGTTATTCGGTCAGCTCTCACAGTCTTCGATTATTGTTTTTCAGTTTACGTTAGTTACCTTCTCGTACGATGACCTAATTACTTGCATAAGAAAAACAAACAAGTACGACCAATATCCAATATCTTTTTGACGAGCTAGTGTAAACCAATTTGATTTCTTCGCGCTCGATTCTTGTTCTTTCGGTACGGTTCTAGGTGTTCGGTAATGTCCAATGGATGGAGGTGTAGCCGCTTGACTGTCTAATTCTAGTCAGTTGGCAGTTGGTTGTGAGTTCGTATGTCTCGGGATTTGAATGAAACGTTTGTTTCAGGGCAGTAGGGTTTCTGGATACTAGCAGCCGTCACATTACCAAACCGGAGGTCAGTTAGTTGCAATGTGGAGAGTAAGAGGGGTAATAAGGATAAATTAAAATGATAATATGAATAAAATTTCAGAACTGAGTAATATATAGGTGAATTCAGTTTGTTAATTGGTAGTGAAGATTGTGAGAGAGGACCGAAGTGTAAGCAAGGTAGAGGAAACAGAGATAATAGGCGATATAGATTAGTTCAGTGATCTGAGGAGATGGTAATGGTAACAACTAGCAGGTCTCAAGATATGCATCAGGCACAGCTTGTCCAAGAGGGAGATGATAGTCCGTATGTGAGTACGTGATTATCAAGTCTCTTCATAAAGCAGTCCACTGATGGGGCTGTAACTACCTCGTCTGGGAGAGCATTCCAAGTTGCGACGACTCGCAATGAGAAAACGTGTGCACGAATCTGAGTATTTGCTCTTCGATGTGCAATATTTGGAGGATTGCCTCGAGGGAGTGGTGGTGATGCATCAGTAAGATGCTCACATTGGGATGGTTTGGCGTGTTTAATATGGTGTAAGCCATATTCAGATCATCTCTGATTCTCCTGTAGCTCAGTGGAAATAATCCCAAGATCGATTGTAACTCTTTCGGTAGGGTTCTAGATATCTGGTAACGTCCAATGGATGTTGGTCTAGCCATTCTGCTGCACTAATTCTACTCAGTTAGCAGCCGTTTGAGAATTTGTTTGTCCCGTAATTTGAATGAGTGCGTTTGTCTCACAGAAGTAGGCTTTCTGAATACAAAAAGCTACCAAACTACCAGGTCGAAAATCAGTTTGTTTGCTAAGTAATAAATAACAGGGAAGAAATTCTAATGCTTAAGATCTACAGGATAATCCGAGGTGGCTTACAACATAATAAGCATGTCAAATCATCCCAACATGAGCACCTTGCCGAAACATCAGCACCTCACCCGAACAGGTAGTCCCTAAACAAATGCATATCAAAGCAAAAACAGACAGGCTCATGCACAGGTTTTCTCATTTGGAGCTGTTGCGACTTCGAAAGCTCTACTATCCGAAGTGACTGCAGCCCCCTCAGTTGATAGCTTCAAGAAGATACTTGATAAAAACGTACACGCATACGGATTATCGTCTCCCTTGTGGAAAAGTTATGCCTGATGCATGCCTTGAGACTTGCTAGTTGTTATTATTGCCATCTCCTAAGATCTCTAACTTAATCTATCTCACTTATTGTCTCTGTTTCTTCGTCTTGCTTACGCTCCTGTCCTCTTGTACAATCTTCAGTACCAATTAACTAACTTGTTTATCCATTTATTTACTTATTTCTGAATTCCTATTATTAGCATTAGAATTCTGTCTTTATTATTCTTTGCGCTGCAAAGAACTTATATCTGGCCTGGTAATTTGATAGCCACTTGTATCCAGAAAGCCTACTTCTGTGAGACAAACGCACTCATTCAAATTACGGGACAAACAAATTCACAAACGACTGCCAAATGAGTGGAGTTAGTGCCGCAGAATGGCTAGACCAACATCCATTGGACGTTGCCAGATATCTAGAACCCTACCGAAAGAGTAACAGTCGATCACAAAGGAATCAATTGGTTCATACTAGCTTGTGAAAAAAATATTGAAGACGTCGGAGAAGGCCGATATTTAAGGCACAGAGTGAGGTGCCAAAAAGAGAAAGAAAGAGAAAAGGACGAGGAGCAGGACTGAAAATATTCTTGTTCATAGCCAAGTCATGACTCAGCAGATAATCTTTTGGATAAAACATAGGTACCCAGATCTTTAGTTTTCTGTATCAAGAGTGTGCACTTGCCTTCATATAGGCTAATGAAGAGAAGCCATTAGTCAAATAACGAGTAGGCAAATAATCTTATGAAGAGACGAGACTCGAAAGGACTAACTTGTTAGAAATTATGCTGATTTACAGTAATTTGACGCTTTGGTGATATTTCATTCATTGTTTTTCTTTTTACCACCGTTGCCTAAGAAATTGTAACGCAAAGACTTTTTGTTGCTTGCCTTTATTATGCAATATGTGTCGTTTCTGAGTCTGTTAACTTTGTAGGAGTTCATAAGTTGGTAGGAGAGTACAATCGAGAGGCTATATATTAGTTTGTATAAAATATTAGGTTGTTCTTCGATTGACGGTGCCATGAAAGTTCTGGGTAAATATGTTTGCATCTCTCTGTGTAGTCGAGAGTATTGTCACATCTAAGCTTTTTATATCTTCTACTCGTATCTTGTCTGTTATACTCATGTGGGATGACTATTATTAGTCTGCGCGTATAGATGTTGGATATAATTGTTCTTATTATCGGTCTGAGAAGTTAGAGAACAGGGGTACATCACACGATATCAGAAGGGTGAACCTATTCATCTTAGCGGGGGAAACCGGTGGATAAGTCGGTCTGAATCCTACCTATTCTCATATCTGAGACCAAAGATTTGGTGTGTTCGCTTTTCCTTGCCAAGGTTGCAGAGTGCTTAGGTGTCCTAGACGTATTTCATGAAATGATTTCAAGTTTCTTCCAGCCATCTCGTGTAATATATTTGGGGAGAATTGTATTTAACTGATGAATTTCAAATCATTGTGTGTTGTTTTTCCGACTTTTATCCAAGAAATTTAACGTTCCAAGGGCGCAGATGCAGGTGTCGTTAGATTTCTCGACGACAGTCAGGATCCGTATTTTATCCAAAGATTTACAGTCTACTGACTCATCAAGATTCACAGGGGGGTTTATCAGATGTGCATTTATTTATAGTTCTCGATCAGTGTGTTTATTATTATTTATGGCACTGAGAGTTCTCTTTAGTTGATCATCCGCCACACCAGAGCAGTGCTGTCTTGTCGCCGCTCGTCTTTTCATACGACATGGACAAGCAGTCAGATCGACAATAAACTTTGTGTCTTTTTACGGGACTGATGAACTGATACTTTTTCTTAAATGAATAAAATGTTGGGCGTTGTTGCAGCAGCCAAATGTGAACAAAAGGGAGCATTCGGATTTACCGGATTTCTTCACAGGCAGATGATTTGACGATTGACATTTAGCCTACTACATGCCTTAATGTAATTGTCCCTTAGCTTAGTGTGGGATGTGCTGTCAGATTCATCAGAAAAAGGGTTTACTGATTTCGACCTTTTGGTTGACTTAGAAGTTGATGACATCTCTATTTCACTTGAGTTATCGTGCATAATTGAAAACTGAGTGTGATAAGTGCCTCTTTAGTTGAGACATATGAGTAAGGGCATAAAAAGTTGAGAATTAGGCTGGCTAGTACTAATATCAGTGCGTATAGGAGAGATTTTATAGGTTTCATCTAACGTTAGGGACTTCTCAGCTGTTCTAAATATCTAAAACCGAATCGGAAGAATAGAAAGTGAGCGCAAGATTTTGAATACTGGAACGGTATGTTGTTGGACTTCGCGGCATTCACAGACCATGCTTGCCCTGCGCACCTTCTGATATCTGCGTTCATAAAGGACCAAAGCATTACCGTTTGGTAAGTTTGGTGATTGCGCCAATCCAGAAATGTGAAAGCGAATCGAATTGTTTAATGACCTGTTTCCGACATTTTTCCAATCACAAAAAGGGGAATCATGTATGCGGAATTATAATCCAATTGTCGCAGCTCATTTGGTGAGTTTCAATCAAACGGCTTGTTGGAAGATTGTTATATGCCGATACAGTGAATTTGCGTCCATACAGCTAGAAACTGAAGTATTTTGCGCCTAGACATAATATTGAAAATTCGCCGCTGAAGTCGTCAAGGCATTACTGAGCCTGTCTGATATACTCTAAAAAGATGATGTGTGAATGAGGACCTGGAAACATTGGTGGCCTGAGACCCGACTCCAACTTTAAAGAACGATTAAACATTCTTTGAAATAAATCTTTCGTTTAATTGCCGCATATCATTCATTTAAGATCCGTTTTGAATGCTTTGTTTGTGAAAATTCCTCCATGTATACATTTGTAATATGTCCTTGTTGATTACTTCAGTTGTACATTTTGTTAATCTGTTAAATTCCATTTTGAGATGATAATATTGGTATTTTATCATAGTTTCTATTTCTGTGCCTTTACTGAGTTTCTATGTTTCTTTCTTAACTGCACCATGTTGTTTAAGCTGATATTTAGTTATGGAGGTAGGCATTGTGATTTGTTCCTCTTTTGATCGGATTGATTGCACTGACTGGAATTGTGCACTTTGACTGTGAATTGGAGTAGGCTTCCAGAATTGGAAACAATCTGTGTTATTAAGATGGATAGAATAACTTTTATTTTTATCAATGACTTGATTAATTGTACAATCGTTGAAGGAATAACGAATCGGTGATATTGTTTAGGTAATGATATATGTTTATTTTTATGAATAATATTAGAACCGTTATTGACTTTATAATCTTGTTTTGGATTTCAACTGGACACGACGCGTGTCTAAAAGTTCTTGAGAGTTATTCCTCAATCCAAACCTCAGTTTGGATCCTACATTCATAAGCGAACCCTGTTTGAGCGTTGGCGGCACAGTACAGTTTTGTGGATGTATATGCTTCATACATTCATTTAAGCAGACAGACTATAGAATGCGAAGTGAAGTGAAGTGAAGCAAAGTGAAGCACAGAAGGCGAGTGTGCCAACTAAGTGGTATGAGATAACTAATTAATTACGGTCGGA